CAACATAAACCCACTTGGGCTAGTTTCTTTTGTTTAAGGCCCATTTACCCAATCACACCTTGTTAACAAAACCAATAATATAATTTCGTAGTTGATCCAATGGCCCAGAGCAAGTGTCACATAGCGGAATCCGTAATAAACATAACTTAATAAATACTACACGCTACTAACTCACCACTAAATCTGTAACAATACACACTAGCCGAGATGCCACACTAAAATTAAATGAAGATCACTGATGAATCAAATAAAATAAAAAAATGAAATAAATCAATAAATCAATAAATAAAATCCATTTTGTTATAAAATTTCCGCGGAACTCGGGGCAAGCTAACCTGTGTAACGCGGGGCGTTACAGTACATGCCCCAAACATGTCGTTCTCTAAGGAAGAATAAAAACCACAAARATGCACTCAAACGTTTCCAAATAAACAAAAATCAAAATGGTAGACATATAAATGTGTGACTTTAGAGACGAAAAACACAAAAAAAGACCATTCTTTGTAAATGACATTTCACCTACCTCGTTTGTGTAGAAATCTTACTCAGCTACAAACAAACTGTGTGGTCAGATAGAAGAGTTACTTTCAATGTACAATATTCTTTTTGTTATCTGCAAAGCTGAGTACGAAGTGCACAGATGAAGAAGACTGATTTGCTGGAGTGCACAGATGAGAAGTAGTTGTTTGATTAATTGGAAAACCTTAAATTCTCGGGCGAAATAATACCAGTTAACAGTCGGGAATTCATTGTAAGTCAACCTAACTTCTCGCCAATTCTCGTCCATAAACAACCCAAAATTAGCATTTTAGCCAATTCTCGGGTGGGAAAAAATGCGATTCTGCCCGAGAATTAGTTATCATTATCACGCTTACGGTCGAGAAAATCACGTCCCATTTACTCCACTGACAATTCTAAAAAAACAGATTTGGGTCATTCCAAAACAATTGTTGAGAGGTGGATTATTTGAACACATTGGGAACTTAAAGAGGGTGATATGAGTCATTTTCCCCGTTCCATATTCCAACGATGCTGCTCCTCCTTGTTCTTTATCTTACTATATTCTGTGATCGCAGTTCAATTCGCTGATCCTCCGATTCCACTCGTCTTGATTCTCGAACCTGAGCGCATTTACTACGAATCCGAACTTCAATCTCCTCTATGTCCTAGAGAACGATGGCTGCGTCGGCAGAAACTATCACCATTCCGGATCAGTCAAATAATAGCGACTGGACTGTTGTTTTGCCTCGTCGTGGCAAGCAGAGGAAGAATTTGCCGAAGCTCAGAAATCAAGAGGAGCAGCGGGCGTGGTCTCCCACTGATCAGGCCAGCGATACAGTCAGAGAATCGAAATTGTTGCAGAAGATGCAAATCTGTATTGAGAAGGTTCAGAGCTCCCAATTTTATCAAACCCTTGTTGATGATCTCGGAACGATGCCAGCATTGGAATTCTTGAATAGGGTTTTGGCCTCGGAGCCAAATATGGGGATGGTTATCTACGGCATAGGAAGCATTGAGAATTATGAAAATCCTCGATTGCAGCTCAGTCTTGCAATATTGATGAAAAGGAAATTTGGTTGGATTGGAAGTTTAGAGGTGTTCGATCCAATTCTTTCTGCGACCGAGTGTCGGGTAATGGAGTCCTTTGGTTGTTCCGTTCTATCAGAAAATGAGCAAGGGCGGCGATGTGCGCAGAAGCCAACACTGTTTTTCATGCCCCACTGCGAGGTAAATTTGTACAACAATCTTTTACAGGAAAATTGGACGGTGGAGCTGTTGAATCATGTTGTGCTGTTTGGAAATAGCTTTGAGACCTATGAGGAGTTCGTATCAGAATTCAAAGGCTCACAACTTGTTGATTCGGCGAAGTACGTCTTGGCCACTAGAAAATTCACAAGCGAGATCAAGATCAAGACACTTTCAGATGATTATTTTGGTGCTTTCCATAGTTCAAGTTGGCAATTTTTCAGCCCTGTTTCACCAACAGAGCTGCAATTCACAGAATTTTAAGGACATTATCTAGTGAGTGGAACAACAGTCAGGTAAATGCTGTACTGTTATTATTGGACATGGATTTTGTTCTTTTCCTGATGATCTGTTATCTAAAAATTTTGGTAAATTCCAAATATAGCAATGTTTATCACTTGTGCTGTGCTCGATTCCAGTTCCAATCTCAAAATCTTCTGGTGTTAATATACCATACACTGCTTCTTCTGGATGGACTACAAACCACAAGAATTTTTTATTTTTTATTTTAATTATAACCTCAATATGATTGTTATGATTGGAAAACAGCAATTGTTTAGTGTTGGCAATCTCCACCCTTTGTCTTTAGTTTGTCCTCTCACTTGGTGGTTTTTGAATACATTGTCTTTTATCAAAAAAAAAAATTGTGTTTGGTTCCATACAGACGAAGGATGAAAAGAGATAATAGAACCATATAAATGATTGGATTTAGCACGTCTGCTTTCTTCTTTTCATAATAGTCTTGAAAAAATGAGAAAGATGTCTCAACTGGATAAACAGACTTTTTGGTAAGATTCTACTATAGGTATCGATCAGTAAGCACTTAGTATTACAATGGTACGCAATGATGTAGTGTAGTTATTCTCGTGAAGTATCAGCGAATATCAATTTACTATACTTGAGCAAATGTTTGTATCAAGTTCTGTTGCGGACATCAGACTGCTCTAGAGTTTAGAGTTAATGCCAAATTAACTGTATAGCCAATTCACAAGGATCTTGTACACCTAGCTTTGTCAAAAGATTCATTACCAAATCTCTAGCCTCTGGTTTTAGATAAGGGTTAAGCATTTAGTTGGGGAAGATTTTGCTTATGAACTGATTAGTTTTCTTTTACTTTGTATCATTGAGAATGATGTTGGAATGCTTAGGTTTGGTATAATGGGTTTTGATGATATTGGTGTTGGCATTTTGGAATTTTCAAAGTTTATGTTTAAGGATAATTGCCTAGAAGGTTGCAAAGAAACTTGTACCTGAGATCAGCATAACTCAATTAGTCAATATTACTTGGCTCTTTAAAGATTTAGAGACATTCGTTATTACACTATCAGGTTATGGCATTTTGTGTGAGTTTACAATAGTTTGGGTAATCGTTTTCTTCTGCATCTTACAATCCAATGATTATGGTCCTAAAGTGAGCTCTACTAAGTCATTTAAATACAAATTTCTGATCAAGTTCGATTACACGAGTATAATTTTTAAAATCATTTAGAGCTTTTAGAATCAGCGTGTGAGGATGAGTAGTTTCAGAAACAACTTTCTAGAGGAATAATTCTTTTAGAGAACATGAAGAGAGGATGAGATAGAATTAATAATAGTAGTAACGAGTTTTAACATTATTTTCTACATAATTTTATGTTCTTGGAATGACATATCAATTTAACAAAAAAAGAACGAAAAAAATCTCTTGTTTTTAGTTCGTCTTTATTTTCGACATTTCTAAGCAATTCCTCCCACTCTCTCTCATGCCTAAACAAAAAGTAGATAAATATCAATCTAAACGAAAACTTTCAGAGTAACTGTTTTTGGGGCCCTACCCAACCTAACTGCTGGGAGGCTGGCCTCGATCTCTTCAACCTCCTCTTTGAAATCTCCGTGAAGGAAGTAGACAATAATCTTTACGAACAATACGATCACAATCTCAATGCCTATATACATACGGAAAAGGAAGGTCTTCCTTGTTTCTATAGATTTTTCGTCAACAAGACAAGTCCACTATAATGTGCAGGCTAAAATATGGTCACAGCCAACTTTGCAGTATAAAACAGGACAGATTAATCTAGCATATATTACACCATCTTTTTTATTTACACTTCACAAATATCAATAATATACAACAGCTACCCAGGGAGCATGATCATTTGAAGGTGCCTCTCATCATCATAGCCATCAAAAGCAATTTTGAATCTTTGTTTCAGTGATTGATGGAATATAGAATAGAGCTTTTGGAATCTTAAAATCATTTGATTGATTTCAATAACTTTACCATGGCAGCAGCTATTGTGTGAGAGGAATGCATTCTAGTTCAATCTCAAGAACACCTCTCTCCACATTCTGCAATCTAAGAGATATATCCTGTCTGACCTTTCCATCTACAAGGTTGATGATTCCATCTTTTACCAAGGTATTTTCGTTACTTGCCACCCATTTTCCCAGCTGCATTGATTCATCAATTGAGGACTTCTCGTAGGCCTTCGTGGCAGCAACCAACGGCTGAATGTCGATCTCGGCCTCACCCATGAAGTCATCAGTCGAAAATGTGTCCTTGTCATATACAAGCTGCAGAAATCATCATTTGGTGTCTTACTAACTGTAAATGATCTAAAACAATCAGAAGCTTAAGGACATGGTGGTGTGCAAGAGGTTCCTTGATGCAGATGCATTTGGTTAAAAGCTAGTGACAAATTTGGAATAAGAGGAGGCTCAACTTTCTACAAAATAGTGCTCAAAATTTGACTTAGGTGTTGAAATCATGATTTTGTTCTCTGATGTTTGTAGATAAACATTTTGACAAAGATATGTTGTTGCTCACCACTTTTAGCGGAGGGATATGCTCAGGAATGGACAACATTAGGCTCTCGTTCCAAACTGGGTTAAGGTTGTTCTTTATGACGCGAGTCCTCACCGACTGTAACAGATAGCAATAGAAGTCACCATCAAATAACAGTGTGACTGATTACCGACCTCCACCATAAATGAGAGATAGACCAAAGTAATATAAGAGAGAGGCTCACTTGGTGCCCTAAGATGAGAATTACGTAGGGATCGCTGGTCACCACATCTCGAACAGCTAGGTTCGTGCCTTTAACCACATTGACCTTAATCAACCCAACAAATTCAACCATACCTGCCTACAAACATCACATCTGAAGTAATAAGATCCAACATCCAAAACAAGCAAAAAAATTCAAGCCACAACACTTGCTTTCCTTTTATTTTCCTCACTTATCCTCTTTAGGTTACTGTCCCTAATCTCCAACATAAATTGACGCACTCATAATTCCAGATTTAATTTTGAACAGATAAATCTGCTTAATGCACCTCTAGTGACATTCCATTTTCAGTTAGTTCTAATCTCAAGGTCACTAGCAGTAGTATCTTGATAATTATGTCAACATCTGAATTTGAAGGAAATTGAAATCAAATGAAGCAGTGAAGCATGAAACCAACACCAAATTTTCAGAAACTCCACAAAGAAAATTAGAGATCAAATCATATTCTTTAACAAAGTTCTTAATTCGTAGTGTCTAGTTTGAAAGCAACTTATTGGGTATCAATCTGAATATTTGTAGAAAAATATATCACCGAGAACTATCGAAACATGTTCGTTTAAATCCGTTTCAGTAAGATACGATCTATAGATGTCATTTGATCACTCACTTGGACTATTCAATCATCATGCTTAGACCATCCATACTTTTTCAAGGCCAAAGTGATTTGATTTGTCAGGAAAAATAAGAGCCAGAGTCACAGATACTCTAATTCTAGACAATACAACTTCAGCAAATTATCCTCATAAAAGTATGCCAAATTTTTACAGATTGGAAATTTTCCTAGCTTGAAAAACACATCCTGTTCTCTTTTGAATCTCTCCCTAAACAAAGTCAACACTAATTTTCTTTCTATGAGTTTTATCAATGTGCCAGTGACAAAGCTTAACTACTATCCTGAGATCAAAATGATCAGACCATGCCTGTAACTCAAATACTCTAATCTTAACTTGTAGCTTTTCAACATACCATGAACTTAATGTCTACGCTTCAGTTGTAGTGTTTGTGGATTGTGCTCTGAAAGGACGCATCACGCTCGTAAAAAAATTTTGTGTGTAGTGAATTTGATCCTTATTTAAGCCTTCTCTTAATTATCTTTGCAATACATAAATTCTAGAACAATTTAAACTGAAGTTTGACCCAATTAGACCTCCCCATGAATCAAACCAAAACTCATCAAAGTGTATATTATGACACTTCTATACTTGGGAGATCTTATTTTTTAACCAATAACTACATGAATCATCACTGTGCACATGCCCCAGTTTTAATACCCTAAAAACCTGAAGTTATATAAATCTCGAAAATTCTAGGATCAATGATGGAAGTTGTTAGCTTCTAATACCTTAAATTGATGGATGAATCATCACTACATTAAAGGATGATTCACTACATTAAAGGATGGATGCATTGCAGCCAAAAATGTCAAAATAAAATGGGAATTTTAACGTGCTCCACAAACAAATACTGATGAAAATCATTAAAAAAAAAAGAAAGAAAGAAAGAAAGAAAATCCATAATCAAAATGCATAATAGAAGGAAAAGTTCTTACCGATGGTTGTCTCGAGACTAAATGGTTTCTCTTCTCGGAACTCTTATGGTCACTGTCTTTTCTTCCCCAACTGTTACGAAATCCATGCCCGATGCGATGCCTGGTAGCTTGTTTCTCAAAGTGCCTTTTATCATTCTCATGGTGCCTTTTATCATTCTCATGGTGCCTTTTATCATGGGTATGGGTACCATTCTTGCTTGAAGAGTTGTTTTGAGAGTTGTTTTGAGAGCATGATGAACTTTTATTAATTGACTGGTGATCACTAGAATTATGACTACTGGCGTTATAAAATTGCAGCAGTTCATACTTTCTCCTGAATATTCAAGAAATGTGATTCTTTAATAGAATGTCCTCAATGTTTCAGATTCCTCAAATGAAATAAAGCGTGCTAGCACTACCTAATAAAATCGAAGCGCTCCTCTATGCAGGCATCTGGTCTCGGTTTTTTGTAGCCCTCAAAGATTGAAGCTTCATACTTCTTGTTTATATCAGTGTTTCCACCCAAGCTAGCCAAAGCATTGACTTGTTCATCCGTCCAATTATCTAGTTTCACTGAGAAAACCTGGCATTTATTATTGATAAATTTAGATCATTAAATACATTGCATGAGATATAAGCTTTCGGTACTGAAATTCAAAGTCAAGATGAAAACTGCAAACAGACATTACTTCCAAATTCAGTTCAGAAGGTTGATATGATATAAAGGGTCACAAATTAGATACCAACTAGAAATAATTATATTCCCTAGTGATGGTGTGTTTGGGAGTGATTTTCGTCATTCCATTGCCAAAATCACTTCCTTTTCCATGAATCATGTTTGGTAAATAAAAAAATTAATTTTAGGAAAGTTTAAAATCACTTTAAATTGATTTTTAAGATATTATTTGAATGGTAATTTTGAAAAATCAATTATACCTAAATATCTTTTTTCAAAATCACTCATTCTACCATCACTCCTAAACACACCCTAAGACAATTTGAGGTGGAAATTCTTTTCCTTCATGACTTATCAGGTTACAGCGACTAATAGAATTCTCAAGACCCACTCCACTAATACCGAGAGAGGCTTTGTCCACCCCAAAAAGTTGCCGGGAGATAACAAAGATTTTAAATTAAGTTTTCCACCTAGGGCTTAAAACCAGGGCTTTTCAGGGTATCTCCAAACATCCAAAACCCATACCATCAGTACCCTTAGGGTGCATTCATGATCTTTTTGTCCACCAGGAGATTGTGCTAATTTCCTTCAAGTCAAAACAGATACCATCCTAAATGTACATGCTCTAGATTTTAAATTCAGATTTCCCACCATCATCCTCAAGGATAGTCAAATTTTATTTTTGGCGTTGATACACGCGAAGGAGTAAAAGTATCATCTATATCAAGTATCAACTGAGGGGGAGACGTCCCAGTACAAACATCTAACTTTTACCAAGTCGGGTGCACTTTTTGTTTCAAAGTACGTTGAGAGTTGACGATGAGCCTAAGAAGATCAAAGATTATAGTGTATTATTCAGATAATGATTCTGGAGTGATAGACGACTCAGACTCTTTGACGGTATCTTTTGGCAATGCTGATATTTGGTATGCTTTATGATGCCATTTAATGCAAATGTTTAAATTATATCATTTTTAATATGAAAAGCTTATTATCGTGCAGGATCGTGTCAAGAAGCATGGCTGAGAGTATCTTACATGTTTGTTATTGAAGAGGGAAAAAGACCACAAGAAGAAATATGAAAAGAAGAAAAAACCTTAGAGATATGAACTCCAAGACTTCTGTGTACTCCAGAACACTTTATACAGATAAACACTCCCAAATTTAACGATCTGCATTCATAAATCAGAAGTTAAGAACAAGCAACCAAACTCTAAAAATTGAAATATATGTTGAGAAGAAGTGTCAGTAGATTTCAAATGTCACATTTTGTGTACCACCTAAGGCACCAAGATTGATTAAGTAATCGATTTGTAATTTATACACATTAAAAGGACTTTGAAGGAGTGACATAAAGTGGCCAAAAGAGATTCAATGATCAGCCTGAGTACATTGAGATCCCAAATTTCCTAATAATAGGGCATTTGTTGCTTCCTGAAGTAGTCCGAATAAAGATCTTGACAAAATCAAACTGCAACTCTCTACCCCCACTCCCTCCCCGTGCCCCGAAAAAGAGAGAAAAAGAGGCATGCCACATACAAAATTGCCAGTTGGCTGATGTTTAATCCACCTATTCAACCTCCTAATAACTGATGTGAACTGAGGAAGAAATGTCCCGAAGAGAATTGCTTCCCCGTGGGTCCATATGAAAGGAAAAGAGAGGAAAGAAACAAAGGCAAAACAGAAAAACAGTTCTATTAATGTCAGAAGAAATTTGAGTCCAAGGCATGGAAAATTCTCCCTTGAACAATTCCTTGGCACTGACCTTTTAAGATTTTCATAACATTTCCCACACTGCCACATTACAATTTAATCCAGCAGCCCGGCTAACTTAAAGGAGAGAGAGATTTGATTTGCAACTTGTATTAATGAACAACTAAATAAAAAGCTGGCTATTCAATGAAACAATAGGACAGGACTTACACCCATTTTGGATCCGGTGATCCACAATCTGCACACAATCTATTACCAGGCTGGTGCAACAGATCCTCCAACCTTTTCTGGGGGCCTGATTAAAGGCAACACAAAAATTAATATAGTTCACAGGGCTTCTTGTGCTATATCAGACAATGATTTAAGACTATTAGCAAGATGACTCCTTCCAGAAAACATAAGAAGAGCACATGACGATTATCAGTGAGAAATCAATACCACATACAAGAAAGTAGAAACACGTATGCAAAAGTGATTTGGAAATGGAGAATCAAAAAATTCTTAAACTTAATCTGTATCGTTTTAAGAAAGAAAAGAAAATTCTTTAGATGCATTTTGTTAGAGCCTTTTTTTTGGATAACTTGGAGAGCAAAACAACCGAACTTTCAATGATAAAGACCATCCATTTGAGAGGATTTTTGATTAGTTAGTCTTCATGGTTATTACTTGGTGTAAAAGTTCACCTCTCTTTCACTATGATAGCTACAATCCCCTTTTAAGCAATTGGACATGCTTCATGTAATCCCTTTATGGGCTTTTGTAATTTCACATCATCAATGAAATTGTTTCTTTCACATAAGAAAGAAAGAAAAAAAAAACAATTATAATTGAGAAGAATGGTCAACATGGAACATGATCTTAAAATGTGGATTTTATAGCATAACATACAGTAACTAGGTTGAACTGCTCCCCTATGAAAGTAAAGAATGCTTGGTACAGAATGCAGTAACTGAAGCCCCAAAAAGGTAAAAAGAGGAAGTTAGTTTCAAGTATTTAAGGGTGATGAACTGATGGGGATTCATCACTTAATATGGAGGATAGTGCATAGCTTCAGTAACCAAAATAACTTTCATAATATCAATTTGTAAAGATTACTGTAGCTAATGAGAATGTTCTTTATTCAATATTTATGATTAGCTGTTTTTAAGCTGAAAAATATAGTCATAGCAGACTGGAGTGCAGCCAAATTAACCTACTCCGTTCCTTCCCATATGAAAGAAGACCAACTCATCCTAGAGTTAGGAAGCAAGATGGAACTCATCTGATGCGTTACATGCAGTCAAATCTGCCGCATTGAGTGTAAGTGAAATATTATATTTAGGAGGGAGAATTTTATTTTTTATTTTTTATTTTATTTTATTTTTTTTATGAGAAACAATACTTTCATTGAGAACATAAGCATCTGGTCCCATTTTTGCACAACTCTACATGGCCCATTTCTTCTTGGGCCATCGCAACCTTTAGAAACTGAACTTTTTCACTAGTCAATGCAAAGTTGAGGGTTAAGAGAGTTCTTGGGAGGTTACCTAGGAGCTTGTAAGATTTAAATACTTTTTTGTGGGCCTCGATCATCAAGAAATTCTTTATACACGAGTGTTCTTCTTGTGTATTGGAGTCTCATTTTGTAGGTTGGCTCCCTTTGGTTGGGCTGGTTTCTTTTATATTCTTGTATTGTCTTAATGAAAGCTTGGTTCCTTATAAATTAAAAAATAAATAAATAAAAAGCAAGGAACTAAGACCAACCCTCAACTAGAAAATATTACATTAAAATGGTAATTACTAATACAGCTTGAAACAGAACTCCACAAAAAAGCATGGCTTTCAGCAAAATACACTCTTTCGAACCACTCCAAGGCCTTTCCTTCAAAGATTGTTTGGTTTCTTTCATTCCAGATACTCCACAAAATAGCCTCTATTGCATTAATCCATTAAATCATAGCTCTGCTTTTGAATTTCAACACACAAAATAACTGAAATATTATCCATGGACCCTTTATCATAAACCCAAGAGACACGGGAGATGCTAAGATTACTAGTCCAACACTTATTGCTGTAAGAACACTGAAAAAAGATATGCTCTTGGCTTTCCTCAGCTGAAAAACAGAAAGAGCAAATTGAAGGATGCAGGCAAACAAAAGAGCACTTCTTTTGTAACCTATTCGAAGTATTCAGACCACCCAAGTGTACCAACCAAACAAATATATACTGAATGACTTTGGGCCTTTTAGATTCACACTGCCTTTACCCACCCCTCATTAGTTCTGGGAGAAATAGAGCTCGTCTTTACCAAAGGTTTGACAGAAAAACAGCCACTAGGATCAACCTTCCAAATTCTTTGATTGTCTCTGGAGGATAAAGAACAAGGTTCCCGATCCCAAGTGTCAAAATCAGATGCTACTTTCTGCTGCACTGCATAAAAAGATTTTAAAAACTGAAATTCTAAAGGCTGACCCCCAGTCATGTAACCTTTCTAAAGAGATTTTCTTCCATTTTCGATATTAATAACTGAAAACTTATCCACAGCGTTCCACAATATCATATGTCATTTCATCCTCTAAACGCTAGTTTTAAGAAGTAAACAATCAATCATTTCCTCAATCCTCATTCTAATATTTGATGTTTGAGTTTGACTTAATATTATCCAGCTTCAAAGTATCATATGCCCAGGTCTGCTAAAGACGTTTCCGTTCCTCCACCATTCCGCTAAAGGTGGTGAGAAAATTAGGCAGTCATAAATGGTCCAGATCTTTTGCCAAAATACCTGGAGACTTATCTTAACGTTGCTTGTTTGATTTAATTTCTTTTGACATCCTCAAGTAAAGCACTCATAAATAAAGGAAACTAAGGGGCTGTTTGGGTTTTTTTATCTGCTTTCCAAAACTGCTAAAAATAAAAATAAAAATAATTATTATTATTTTTAAATGCTTTCTAGTTTTTAATGTCAAAACTGTTTGTAAAAATATTTTTACTCTTGAGATTTCAATTATTTCTTTAACATATCAATCATATTTAGATCAAGCCTAAAAGAGTGAAGACAATCGATGATCGTATAAACAGTTAACTTAAAAAATACTAAGGACAATACATGAAAATAACAAAATATAGTTTTCATTTTCTACTATTTTATGTTATACACTGTTTTTACCTTTTAAAGATTATCCTGAAAAAGAAATTTTTTCATGAATAAACTGTTTATAAAAAATATTTAAAAAATTAAACCCTACTTCCAGACAACTTTAGCTATCTATAGCATCCACAAGGACCTTTTTTCAAGGTAAAAGTAAATGGTAGGACGCAATAGGTTGGGCGTATTGCATAAACAAAAACCTTTCAACACAAGATAGAGACATTCACGTGAAATAAGAAAAATCTCTTCTTTCTCTTCCTTTTTTTTCTACTTTCTCTTATTTTTCTTTTTGAGGAGGGAAGAAAAGCCCTTAAAAAAGGAGATCTTATGCGGGATGGCATTTTGAGCACATTTTTTAAAAAAATATCCCCTACATCCCAAATCACATGTGGAAAGCTAAAGTTCCACAACAAAAGCAAAGCATGCGCTGACTCACCTCTCTCCAGAAAGCTAGCCCTATTGATCAAGCCTGGAAACCATCATGTTCTAGTAGCATATATATATTTTTCAGGGCTGCAAAGTGCTAGTTGTAGAGCACACCTGCGCCCCTAAGAGTAAAGCTTTTTTGTGGATTCCCATTCTATGAGTCTTCTCTTCCCCCCCACCACTAATTTTGTCCCTTCCTTGTCTCGGTCAACAACAAGGTGCTCCTCTTGTCACAGAAGGACTTCACCTGTAGTGTAGTCCAACCGATGGGTTGCCCTCATCTTCCCCTACTAGGCAAAAATTAGGGAACTACAAGAGTATGACATACAAATGGAATGGGGAAAAGGAAAATGAAGACAAAAAATAGTGGTTCTAAGTTTCTAACTAGCACGAGAGACAATCAAGGATTGCTAGAATATATCTGTCCAAAAGATCAATCACCAAATAACCCTTCTTCACAGCAACCATTGGAAGCATTGAAGAGCAGAAGGTATAACAGCTAAACTGAGAATTTTGGTGTTACCCAAAATACAGTAAAAGATTTTTATTGAAGTTAAAAATGATCCCTAATTCACTAATTAATTAATCTCATGAAGTTGAGTTTTCTTTGAGAATGGAAAACATATTACTAGTCAGCAAATCACTAGATTTTGCATCTTTTACAATTACAATTTCTACAGGATTAAGATTTGGCTTTCATCTACTTTCAATAATATTCCTTAATAAGTGCTATTACAATTATAAAGATATTGATAATTGAAGATATAATACCCGAGAGTTGTTGATCCTTTTTCCAATTCCAGCCTTGCACTTCTGAATCTGAATATAATAAGATCATAGAGAATTGAAGCAATGAGGAGTGGAAGGTCTGACAGTTAAATGAAGTATTCCGATATTGCTCAAACTACGGTAAAGGAATAATTTATTAAAGTTAAAAAGATCCTTAATTTAATAATTAATTAATCTCCGGGAAGGTGAAATTATTTAGGAATGGACAACATCAGCATATTACTTATCATCAACTCAGCAGGTTGACTAGACTTCACATTTCCTACTATTTACATTTTCTCCAGGATTTGGCTACATTTTCTTTCAATAGTATTCCTTAATAAGTGTTACTACAGTAATAAAGATATTGAGAATTGAAGAGATAATACCAGAGGGCATTCGACTCCAGTCCCAGCCTTGCATTTCTGAATCTGGAAACAGGAGATCAAAGAGACAAGCGCCTGGCACAATTGAATCGTGTCAAGGAAATTTCAACGCAAAGCAGGTGCATGAACTCAGCTCTTTACAGTTCAGTAACAATAGATACATACACAAATGCTATTATAAATAATCAACAGTTTCACTACACCAATTAATTAATTCTATTATAATTACTAAAAAACTAATAATAAATAATCAGGTCTTTTTTTTACAATTTCAGCATTGTACTTTTGCATCCAAAGACTCAGTTAACCATCTTAAATTTTTTAAAATTTTGGACTTACATGCCGATAGTCGATCTTAATTTTCAATTTCACACAGTTATTTTACCTAAAGAGAGAACCTTCCATAACATAACCAAATATTACAACTGCATTCCAATCCCAGTAATTTTTCATGAGTCCATAAGAGACTTATTACACCCAAAACAATTGTTCAACCTTTAAGGTGGGGGAACACACATCATACGACACTGACATCATAAGTACCATCTCAAGGTTGAAGAATTGGGTTGTGAGCAATTTGAATTTGAATTTTGTAGCTCATAGGAGAGAAGATATTTCGATGGTCGAAAGGGTATAATGCATTTCAAATAAATAAGAAGTGGTCAATCCTAAAGTCACCCACCCAAGATCTTTGTTTCCCCGGCCAACCTCCACCATCCCCAATCCAAATATTGGATTATATGGGAGAGTAATCATCACCTGCTTACTCTCCCATATAATCTGGCATTAAATGAAAATATTTCATACCATTCTTCTCTTTAAAGAGGAAGAGAAATCTAGTTATTCAGTGGTTAATCAACACTTTCAAACACTCCACACTGGCCATTTGGACTGCTGTAAAAGTTCCATAACTCCCTATTGGAGGATTCACTACTCTACTGAGAATTGATATTCAAATATTCATCCATATACTAAGCCACTAGTACATCCACCAAACTGAAGTTAAACTGAGTTTCACGTTCTAATATTACGAGAATTCCAATATTTAATCAAGACAACAATGGCGATGATCATTTGCAGAGATGATAAATACCTGAAACGGCGTTTGAATCCGAATTCTGCTGCTGGGTCGACATTTCCAGCCTCAGATATCGCGCACACAAATCATGAAACAATGGGGTAATCTGAAAACAGCCATTTTCTTAGCTCATCCACTGGACCCCCTTGAACCGGGTCTCAATAGAAAACTCAAGAGAGCATAATGAACATAGTGGGACAGGAATTCAGAAGAGTTCTTACAGGTAGACAAAATGACGAATGAAACGAATATCCTAGATTAACAAGATTCTGCCCTGCCTTCTTCTCTGAACGAAACAAAATTTAAAAATAAAAAATAAAAAATGCACTTGTAAGCAAATCAACAACGAAATTCCAAACACTTCGGCGCCAAATTTAAGACAGAACAAACAAGCTGAAACACAAATAATCGACGCTTACCGTTCAAGAAAAAGAAAAGGGGGCGCGGCGCTGGCGATAGTTTAATGCGTTTAGATGAAACGCTGTAGATGATGATGCATACACAAATGCTAGAACGCAATTCATGAATAAAAACGTCGAAGAATTATTAAAAAACCGCTAAACCTAAACGTATCCATCTTCAACGGAATTAGGCAGAAGAAATGCAGAAATTCCAATAACACGGAAATCAGAGAGACAATGTTATCAGAATGGTCTTCTGATTCTCATTGCACGGCAATTTGGATTGATTCCCAGCAAAATTCAATTGATTTTGAGGAGAAAAGAGAAGGGTACGTCCGAATTCGAAAACTTGTTCAATCGTTACGTTCGAATCACGGCGGTATACGGATGTGATGAGAGTGATTTTCCAGAAGAGATGATAATCAAAAATAATAATAACAAAAAAAATGTAGTAACGAACAAGAAAAGGTCAGAAGATGAGGGTGAGATTTGGGGATGAAATTTGACAACAGTACAAAAGTATGTCGTTCAACTTATTATTAACAGACACAATGCTTCCGTTAAGAACACAATCAAATTTTAACATTTTGTTAATTTTGTCGGTTTAGTATCTGAAAATCATAATAAAACCTCTTCCTTGAAATATTATTCAGTATTTTAATTCTAACCTTTTTTTTTCATCTCTACATCCTCGACGTTGCTCGTTTTGATYTATGTATTTGAATAGGTATATTTTTAAAAAGTGATCATTTTAATCTCTGTTTTCAAAATTTTAATACAAATTGTGTACACAACGATATTTTGATATAAAGTTGTTACTACATTTCACGAAATAGGCTAGATATAGTTTTGAAATTGTGGTCGAAAAAAATAAGATTAATGAACCAACACGATCACTTTTTAATAGTACAAAAACCAAATAAAAAGTTTAGAGATTAAAATAGAAAAAAATTGAGAATACAAATATCAAAATAAACATTTTGAACGTACAAGAATCAAAATAGTATTTTAATTTATAACTTTTTGGTTAAATTACAAGTTTAGTTCATAATTTTCAACGTTGTATCTAACAAGCATTTGTCATATTCGATATCTTATAAAGTTTACGAACTTATTAAATGTAAAATTGAATTTTCTTCGTTGTGCGACCACCCTAGGGTGCAGCATGAGCTCGATTTGCTTTACTTTATTATATATGTATATTATTATTTTTTTTTGAAACATTAGGTGGGACATATTGATATTATAAAAGTTACATATGGTATTTGTTTCTCCTAAGTCCCAAGTCCTAAGTCAATTTATTTTCCCTTTGGAAGAAATTCAAAATCGTCTCTCTCCACTCATCCAAGAGATCTGTTTCGTGGACGCCACTGACATTTGTCGTGTCTCAACTTCCTAAGATGCCACTACCTTTCTTTGGGACGAGGGTATTTTAGTAAATTTCACTTTAAATTTGGTCTTATTTTATCCATTCTGTTCCTAAACTTTATAAATTTTTTAGCTTTGAGCTGCCGTTACTAATATATTTCATAAGATATATCCGATAATTATTTCATATTAATTATACGAGTGATATACTTTATTTTATATCACAAATCCTGATTTCTAAAAAACAACAAAGGCAAAGTTGGAATTACAGAAAAGACTAAAATTAGATTAACATTCTTTTCAGTATTTGCAAAATCAAAAAGCTGCTGTTATACTCGTAAATATTAGTTTTTTTTTCTACCCATTAAAAATAATCTATAAATTATTAAGCTTAAAACAATTTTTTTTATAACGTTGTTAATTTTGTTTAAATAATATTGATTTGAAACTTATTCTAAAAATAATGTTTTAAAATTCCTGTACTGTTAGATTTTTCTATTAGATTTTTCTTTTTTTTTTAAGAGATTATCCAGTCTACTTTAGACAACATACACGATATTGTATGTCTTCTCTGAAGTTTTTTAAACATTAATGTTAGTTTGGTGAAATGAATTCACAATCTAACTTAGAGGTTTTAGATTCAAGTTTTTTTTTAACAAACAAATTGAATGTTGTTGAATCAATAATTTGATCAACTCCATGAACGTCGGATCGACTAGGATGAGCTGAACAATGAGCTTCGAATGCTGCGCAAAAGACCTGTAAAACAGAGTGAGCACTCCAATTCTAAAGTCAGTGAATGTCCGAACTAACTCGAGAGAGAATCGAATGTTCGCATACCTCAAAATGAAAGCGTAATGGTTCTATTTATAGGCAATTTTTCCGACAATTTTCCCAACAGCACCTCAACCGCTCTTTAAGATTGCCGTGAATCACGACGTGTTATCGTGAAGTCTGTCGGAGTTTGGGACTGAACCGAATTAAAGCTAGACAGTTCACCTGGATAGATGAGAATAAACCTCGAGTGAGCTTGATCGGCTCGACCACGTAAGACATCGGCTCAGCCATATATATGAAATCGAGGTAATCAAACTATAATATTCTACCACGTGTACGTTTCACCATCCAACCGACATATGCCAAGGCGAGAATTACTTCCAACAAATGTTATACTGCAATTTTTTGTTTTAAATAATTTTACTTATTAACATTTCTCTCTCCTAAAAGAAAATAATTACTATTAAAAAATTATAAATATTACTAGTCATCTATATTGCAATTTTCTTTTTTTTTTAACAAATTGCAACCTAAAAAAATGATGAGAATTTTCAATTTNGTAGGACTTGTAGATGACTAAGGTGATAATGAAACCGCCCCCATCAACTTAGCATTATTGTTCCGTGACATTTTCATTTCTCGCTTTCAATTTTCTTAAAAAATTTAAGCATTTTACAACAATCTTTATTCGTTGTTTCTCATTTTTTTTTGAAAAATACTCACAATTGTATAGAAATTTTAGAAACAAACCAAAACAAATCTTTCAGTTACTGTTCCTATTTCCAATTTGCTCCAAAACATGAATAAAAAGATAAAAATTGTTTTATCATACTTAAATTATTGGAGTTTGTAATTATGCAATACATTTTTCTTCATTAAAAATAAAGAAACAAAATAAAGAAATACGAACGTTACCAAACGAGTCCGTGATGTCTTATATATACGACATACCAATTTTTCTTATTTTTTAACATAACATGGCTGTATATCGTCTCTTGAAGAGATGACTAACTGTGAAGTGGATTTGATCGTCTAATTCAGAGACAATTTAGTGGCGAAAAAAATTTCAAAACATTATTTTTTTAATAAGTTTCGAAGTAACATTATTTGTGAAATATGTTTAGATAGTAGCAATATTTAAAATCCTTAAAAACCGGTCCAACTAACAAACAAAAATCCAACAAAAATGCAAACATAAGCATAGCCTACCGAAATGACATCTACTATATCTGCTATCTCTGTTGTTGGAAGTTGAAATCTCCCTATTTCATACAAACCAAAATAAAATTAAAATAAACACAAAAGACAAAAAGAGAATGCATTTGAGTTAACCTAAATCAAAACCCTGCCTCACTAACCTTTTTGTAATAAATTTTTATTAGTTAAATAACTAGGTAAGAGATTAAACTATCGACCCCGATTTGTTCTTATTTATAAAGCTATGTTCACATTCAAATAATAAATTATCTATATTTAGGATTTTTTTAAAAAAATAATACTTTATTTTAAACGTATCTAAAACTATTTTCAAGAATAATGCTTGAAAAATTATACATAATTTCTTTAAGGGACGATCTATGTCACTTTACAATTTTCGATTGCATGGCGTCTTGCTGGCGCCATGTGTGTGCTTTTTTTTTGAATTCTGGCATGTTGTCTCTTCAGAAAATAGAATTTATTTTTATTTACATGAACATAGCAAACGATAATTAACACCTATTCGTATTAAAAAATAAATAAAATAAATTAAATTGCAATTATTTCTCTTGTAAGCAAATTTAAATAAATGTTACTTATTGAAATTTTATATAAAAAAAGAGAAAATAATTTTGATATAAAATTTTATTGAATAAAAAAGAAAAATAGTAGAGATTTGATCCTAGGACCACTAGATTAAAAAATAGGTGTATACCACTGTACCAAAATGGTAATTTTGAAGAGATGACATGCTAGAATTTTAAAAAATAAACACACACGACACATCCACGCAACTCGAAAATTGTGAAATTACATAAGTGACCTATAGTTTTCCAAACATTATTCGTAGAAATAATTTGAGTGATATATGTTTGGAATAAATTTAAAATAAAAGATTATTAAAAAAAAATCTCGTTGCTTTTAGAAGTACTTTTCAAAACTATTTGAAAACTCAAGTACCACAATTTTATATTGTACTCAATAGAAATTAAATATGACAACATGTAAATTTACAGAGCCATACCTATTGGGTCCGTTATTTGAATTGCTAAATAATTGTAGATAGCATAAAATAATTATGTATATATTTGATGTAAATTTTTTAAATATGGTAGAAAGTTCAAAATTGTATAAAAAATATTTTTATTATTCAAATTAAAATAAAACTCAAATGTAAGATATGTTAGAAAAATTTAAATTTATACTATATTTAAAAAAAATGAAAAGTTATGATATTATATATTTTAAATATGGTGCGAAATTTCTCAAATTTTATGTATTATCAATGGAGAGTCAAAACTTCAAACAAATTTTTAAGTAAATTTAGAATAGAATTAATTAATTAATTAATTAATTAATTATATATATATATATATATATATATATATATATATGTATATATTAAAGTTCAAAGACCATAAAAGAAAACTAAAATGTGTCCTGAATTTTCAAAGTTGCATCTAAAATTAGTTTTTTTTTTATATAAATTGTCGATCAAGAAAATAAAGGAGACAAGGAAAAGGATATTATAAATTTATAATTGCTAGGTTCATTTATTTTTTAAAATTGTTAATTAAGGAAAAAAAAAAGACAAAGAAAAGGATATTATAAATTTATAATTGCTAGGTTCTCTCCACTAACAAGTGCAACTGCGGCCGTACTCTCTTGAGAATCGTCCGCCATTGATATACAGAACCAGAAGCTCCGGCCAATGTCATCTGCAACAACTTCACCAGCCATGGAGTCCTTGATTCTGCAACTCCATGAAATTTCGGCTGTTAAGTTCGGCAACTTCAAGCTCAAGTCCGGAATATACTCTCCAATTTACATTGACCTTCGCGTCATTGTCTCCTACCCTTCACTTCTCAGCCAAATATCCAAAACCCTAATTTCTTCGCTCCCGCCTTCCACCTCCTACGACCTTGTTTGCGGCGTCCCTTACACCGCTCTTCCTATTGCCACTTGCATCTCCGTTTGTAACCATGTTCCGATGGTTATGCGCCGCAAGGAGATTAAGGATTATGGCACTGCGAAGGCCATTGAAGGGCGTTATGAATCGGATCAAATATGTTTGATTATTGAGGATTTGGTGACTAGCGGTGCGTCGGTTCTGGAAACTGCTGCGCCGCTGCGGGCGGCGGGGCTGAAGGTTAGCGATGCGGTTGTGTTGCTTGATAGAGAACAGGGCGGGAGGGAGAATTTGGAGGAGAACGGGATTAAATTGCATTCGATGATTAAGTTGAGCGAGATGGTGAGGATTTTGAAGGAGAAGGGGAAGGTTGGGGAAGAAATGGAAGGGGTAGTCGCGAGGTTCTTGGAGGAGAATCGGAAGGTTGCGGTGCCGAAAGTGGAGAAGCCTGTCAGAGTTAAGGCCATTTCCTTCCAAGAAAGAGTGAAGTTGGCGAAGAATCCGATGGGGAAGAGGCTGTTCAAGGTGATGATCGAGAAGGAAAGCAATTTGTGCGTAGCGGCGGATGTTGGCACCGCCTCAGAGCTGCTCGACATCGCCGAGAAAGTGAGAGCATCTAGAATTTCTAGATTTTTCTTCGGATTTTTGTTTTCCTTTTTCTTTCGTCAAACATACAAACGAACACCCAGAACAAGAAAAGTAAAAGAAATCACTAAGAAAGATGAAAATGAATTGGGTTTTTAAGAAAAAACCAGAGGGTGCTTCCAGCTCCCGTTCTCTTCGTGTAATCCATTTGGCTTCTGCTGCTTCGGCCAGCGAGGATGGTAGTTCAAATTTACCCATATTTTGGGACGGCCCCACGCGTTTCATAGTTGATGGATTTCGAACTACTTTTGTTTGTTGTTTGTCTGCTTATTCACTGCTTCGTGTCAATCAGGTCGGGCCAGAGATTTGCTTACTGAAAACTCATGTGGATATACTGCCAGATTTCACCCCAGATTTTGGTTCCAAACTTCGCTCGGTATATATCTTCAGAATTCTCATCACTTATTATAGATTTTAGCTAAATCTCGGGTATGGTAAAATTAGCGAATTTAGAACCCTAGATTAGTCGTTAATGTTTGTTGATGTACGGTAGTTCTGATGGCGAGATGCCATGGATGATGATAATTAAGAATATTGTTAACCTTCTGTACTTAAGTTCGTATTTTGTTTAGACAGTTCAGCATTTCATTACTGTCCAGATTTCCAGTACCTGTATGTGATATCAGCAGGATTGTAAAAATGCCTCATGGGTATTTTTCTCCATGTTCGAGCCCTTTCCTAAGGGGTGGTGTGGGCTACGGTTAGGTTTAATGCATCTTGGATTTCGAAGTGTTATGTAACTATTCTTTTGTTTCGTATCTCAACGACAAGGAGTTTTTTTCCCCGTATTGTCGTGTGTTCTCTTTCATTTGCTCTACGTTCTCGTTAAGAAAAAGTTCCCATATGTTAATTTTGCTCTATGATGGTTTCGAAAAAACTGCTACATGTTTTGCTTACATATCTCACTGAATTTCAGATTGCTGAGAAACACAACTTCTTAATCTTTGAAGATCGGAAGTTTGCAGACATTGGGAATACAGTAACAATGCAGTATGAAGGGTGGGCCTCTCAACTTCCAATCTAATTTATTTTCATTTTCTATCCTTTTCCAGTAATCCTCGGGAGGTTCTGAAATCTCGTTTTTGAAAATGCAGGGGTATTTTTCATATATTAGACTGGGCAGATATAGTCAATGCTCATATTATCTCTGGTCCTGGAATTGTAAATGGATTGAAGTTAAAGGTATGGAGCAACGCTGTTGACAGTTTAGCCGGATTGATAAGGGAGAGTGTGTTTGAGAGTGCTTAGTAACAATTCATTTTGATGCTTAGTTTTACACTAAAAATGTTTTGAATGCTCGTCGGTCAAGCACTCGGACCAAAAGTACTCTATGACTATGAGTGCTTCCTCAAAAAGCACGTTAAATTACTGACTTTCTTTTTTTATTGTGGATCTCGTTAGGGGTTGCCTCGAGGTAGGGGCCTATTACTGCTGGCTGAGATGAGCTCAGCTGGAAATCTTGCCACGGGAGACTACACATCTGCAGCCGTTAAAATTGCAGAAGAACATTCCGATTTCGTCATTGGCTTCATCTCGGTTAATCCAGCATCCTGGCCGGGTGCGCCTGGAAATCCAACATTTATTCATGCCACCCCTGGGGTCCAAATGGTCAAGGGTGGTGACAATCTTGGACAGCAATACAATACCCCATATTCTGTAAGTTTTTTCCAAGATTTTCTGCTGCATCTTTTGTTCTCCTTCCCTTGCCACACATTTCTTTTCATACAAAATTGAACTCTGACTTCTCTTTTTCCAATCTTGGTCGTTTGAGTTAAATTATAAGTTCGGTATCTAAACTTTTAGGTTTTTGCCTATTTAGTTCCTATAATTCAAAAGTTTCTAACAAGACCTTAAACTTTTGTTGTTGTATTTTTTGGTCACTAACATTTAAAAAGTTTGTAGTAGGTTTCTAAAATTTTAATTATGTGTCTAATAAGTCTTTATATTAACTTAGTCAACTTAACATTTACGTGACATGCTAATGTATTGTAAGATTATGTAGCGAACTTATCTCAGGTAGGTTTAAGTATTCAAAGGCGTAAGCATTAAACTAACAGAGCTATTAGCCACAAAATTGGAAGTTCAAAGGTCCATTAGAGTCTTTTTAAAGTATAAAATCTAAATAACAACCCTCAAGTTTTAAAACCTGTTAGAAACTTTTCTTTAGAGATGTTAGAAACATATTAAAGTAAAAAAATTAAATAAACACCGTTATCAAACTTATAATTTAACCCTTTTTTATTTCCATTTGGTTGTTAGATATAGGGAACTTCAGGAAAAATGAGAAATGGTTGATTGAAGTGCTGTCTGATGACATTTCTTGTTTTTTCTGCAATCAAACATATTTGTTTCCGAATCATTCTGAAATGGTTATGGATTCGAAATGTCTGGGAGCTACCTGAATGCGGTTTGTATCGAGAGAGAGAGAGGGAGAGAAAATTTCTTGAAGAAAAACCTGGTAATGGCAGGGGCATTAAGGGAAAATATCTGGCACTCGGATACTCTTTCCCTTCACTGTCTGCCACATCATCATTATATTAAAAACGATGTGGAGTACACCAACATTAAAAAATTATCTATAAAGACAAAATCATAGTGTGAACTGAATTCTTTGCTAGCATGAACTGAATTTGGGAAATGATATTTGTGGCAGGTGGTGTATGACAGAGGAAGTGATATCATAATAGTGGGGCGTGGGATCATAAAGGCACCAAATCCTGCAGATGCAGCCCGCGAGTATCGTCTCCAAGGATGGGATGCATACTTGGCTAAGACCACCTAACAACAACATTCAATTAGCTTTGAAATGAATGTAGTTTCTTTCTACTTTTTTTTTTCAATTTTGCTCGAGGTACTTTCCCTCAGTCCTTCCATGCTTGCAGAGCATTTGAGGGAGATATACGATCTGACTTAAACAGGATTTATTCTACAGGTGGTACGAGTGTGTGTGTGTGTGGGAGATCTATTTAAGAGAAGCCCTACTGAATCAGCTTTGAAATAATTTTCCACTGTTACCAGTAGTTCTAGAAAAAGAAGACAAGTTGTAACCATGTTAAATGACAGTGTGTGTAATCTTTGGGGGTGATCATGAGAATGAAAAGAGTTCAGAAAATTTCTTCCGTATTTTTCCTCAGAGGGAATTACTATAATAGATATTTAGTTTCTAAGATTTTCATTACTTGCTTGAATTTTGAATGGTAAGAATTGTATAACTAAATTATGATTTGGTACGTTTATTGGATAAAAGATCTAATATGATGTAATAGTCTAATAGATAAATAGTAGATCTGATATGATGATTTGGTACGTTTATTGAAGAAATTGCAGATGTAACATTTTTTTGAGCTACATCAAACTTTTTCAGATTGTGTTACTCAATTTTATCGAGCTGACATTATGCTGTTTTAGACAGTCAAATCTGTTTCTAATAAGTCCATAAATTTTTAAGTGTCTAAGAAGCCTCTGACTTGAAGGTTTATGGATCTATAGATGCAAACAAAAAGTTTATGTATCTATTAGACTCATAAGACAGGAGGCACTCGAGAATGTTACGTCGAAAGGACCAACGATGATGAGGGAGAAAGCAAACACTTATAAGACATGTCCTAAAAATTTAGGGACTAAACTGGTAAATTAACCTTTATAAATTGAACCATATTATATAATTTATCTAGTGGATCTGAAGGCTGAGAGCATCATATGGAGCTATGGCTGCAACTTTAACAATGAGGTAACTGAAATTCTTAATACCATACAAGGAAATGGGAGGGATAAAGTTTTGCATTGAAAATCAATGGGGAAGTAAGTTATTCTAATACATGGTTTCATGAAAGAGCAAAGAGTGTTTGCATCTTAATTCAAAATGAAACTCATAATTAGAAAGCCTCGTTGCTCTAACTACAAAAAGACAACCAACCTACTTGGCCAAGAAGATAGGATTGAACTGAATGTTCATAAGCCTCATTGCTCCCACCAGTATCACTGTTCTTTCCAAATTCTACCAGTCACTCTAAGCTTTAATTCCTTCCGGTCTCCACCAGAGAAAAAGAGAGCCATGTTGCGTTGGATAATGAGACCGTCGAAACTGTCCCGAACTTTCCGATGGCTGTCCCTGATGCTCCTGGGAACCCCTTGCCATACCATCTTCCTCCCATTTCCACTCACCTCAAGACTGTAGCTGTAGTTCTTTGCATCATTATCGTCGCCCATGAACCGCAGAAAAGCTATGTATACCGGAGCCATCCCGAGCTGGAAAGCTTCGAAATGCAGGCAAAAGTATTGACCAAAGCAACTGAAGACCTAAATTTCAAAACTCTAAATCAGAGTCGCCTCACAATCAAGAATTCGAGCTAATAAAATGAGGATCCTAGATTTCTAAACTAGCAAAACTCTTCCTCCAATTCAGGTAGTCCGAACTCAGTAAACAAAAGTCAGAAATATTTCTAATTTACAGGAGTACATTTTCTGACATATGATAGCGAAACCAAATTAAGCATTTCCTTCTGCCCATTTTCTTCTGATGTGTCCTAAATTGCTAAGCCAAAGAACATATACCAATTCCGTGACAGGAGAGCTCCAAAAAAGTGAGTGGTCTCATGCCAAGATCATATCACTAATATATACACATCTAACATGATTCTAATGCTCAAAATGTGCATAAGAAATGCAAAAGAGATTCATCCGCGCAAGAAGGTAAGGAGCAAAGTGGGCAGCCTAAGAACCGAAAGAAAAAGTCCGAGAGGAAAATTACCGTTAGCATCCATGTCGCATTTTCAACTTCTTGAGGGTTTGATTTCACATAGCGATGGTTGAATGTGCTCCCACTATGCATATCTACTTTATGATCATCTTTCAGGTGGGACACCAAATAGGGTATATCACCAACGATTGAGCATTCGGATCCAGCATATGGGCAACTATAAGGTCTATAAACACATTGGGATTCATGTTTGACCTTGCTGTAATATGGGTATATGCCAATGCAACCATAGCTCTGATATTTACATGGAAGTTCTAGAGATGCGGCCACCTTCTCCAACGCGAGACATCTGATATTACCGAGTTCGTGCCGACACGTAGGGCACCGGTTGTGCACTCTTGGCTTGCAACCAGAACATAGTGTGTGACCATTTGAACACTGCAGTGACGAAAAAACACAATTAAAGAAACTGCTGTTTCCCATGAACTCAATACTAAATATACACTCTAGTCCCTAATGGTTGAGTACTTTTTCAATTTAGTTCCTAATGTTAAAAAAATTTTAATTTAATTCCCTATGTCTTAAAATTTTTCAATTACACCTTCAGTGGTGAGTGTTAAAATTGATCGATAATTAATGTACATTGCATAATACTCAGTGAGTTAGGCAACAATTTAATGATAAATTAGTCCACCTAAAAGAAGAAAAGTCAAATTTTCTACCAAACACTCATAAATTTGGAAGAGCAATTAAAAGTTTCCTCTCTTAAATGTGATTTAACTCCTCTTCTGAATTTCTACTAACTCGCATCATTCCATACAAGTTTATCATTAGCAAATTTAAACATTTACCGACCATGATGGTATAATTGAAAAATGTTAAAATATAAGAACAAAGTTGTAACTTTTTAAATGCAAGGAAATACATTGAAAAAATACCTAAACATTAGGGACTAAAATATAGATTTAGCCTAAACTTAGCCACATCCCTTTTGGAACTTACAAAACCTATAAAGATATACCAAACTGAACAAAATATTGGTAGTAGATTTCAAAAGAAGCATTTCACTCAATTCATTGTTCCAACACTGAAGTTCTTCTTTTTGGCTAAACACTGACTGAGTTCACTAGAACCTCCAGAGTCATAGAATCTAACAACTACATCAACACCAAAGTCACCGTGGCGCCATCAGTCTGAAAAGTTAACCACATCACATAAAGATGAATTGAATTTTAGTAACCATACCTGATGTATTGGAGGGTACATTGCATTCAAACACACCGGGCATTCCAACAGCTCGCGAACGCTACTGGAAACAGCGACATTAGGTTTAAGTTCATTTTGAGCTGGATCATCCACAGCTTCCCTGATGTCCATCAAATCTTCACTTTGGGGAGGATCAATAACCTCTGGCTTGTTCCGCATGTCATCAAAATAAGGACTTCCAGATGCCATCTTTGAAGGACAGTTTTATGCTCGGAATCGAGCTTTCAACTTTGGAGAATGTAATAAGTGCCTTGTCGACTGAGCTAAGATCAGGTTGGCCAGTTTTATGCAATCTGAACATAAGCATAATAATAAGTAATTTCAGAATCAATCTTCTATTAAAAATTTAATGCAGAACTGCTATGTAGAGAGTACAACAGATAACATGCAAAACAAACAGACTCTGTATCAAGAGAATTCCAAAAAGGAATCCGAGGCTGAAATCAGCATTTTATTAATGGAGACCATAAATATGCACGTCATTAAATGAGACAAAAAGACGGTGATAAGCACATGGATTCCCTTCCTCTGAAGAATATGAAATGATAAAATCTTCACTAATTTCACAATCCGAACTCGGCCATTTAAAAAAAAAAAAAGTAAAAGTCCACCCTCAAATTCAAAGGAAAAACCACCATGGATCTAAGAGACAATTAAGGTCTAAATAGCCGAGAAACATGTTTCACAAACTTCACATTCCATCAAATCAAGCCCCGGGAAATACCCGAGTTGCAGAGATCGTCAAAATTTTATCAAAGTCAGTCCAAATTATCAACGAAACTAAAATCAAGGGAAAGAAATGAACAAAACAGATCGAATTATACCTCGAATCGCGACGAAAACACTGATTGAGAGTAATTTTTTTTGTAGGGTTTGAAACTCAACTACCGCATCGGAAATGTACGAACCAAAAGGGTAGGCCTCCAACTCGTCCAAGACAGAAAATTTTTCAAAATTAAGCCGTTGAGAGAGACAGGAGCCGAGGATTATAGAGAGAGGAGAGAAAAATTTCTCGAGAAAGTACAAAAAGCAAAGTTTTTGAAAACCCTTGTGGGACCCTTCTCCATCAAACTTCATATTTTGAAAATTCAAAAAGAAGTAATAATTGCCCAACTTTTTCTCGCCAACCAAACAGATTTCCCAATTGAATTTTGGATTTTCTTTCCCCTTATAAATTACAACAATGGCTAAATTTATATTTTAGATCAAATTACCACTTTTGTTCTACAAAATACTAAACTTTATATGATATTTCATTAACATTTTAACAAAACTTTTTGAGCAAACAGTGGTTAATATTTTAAACAAAATACTGATCTAGAAATTAAGGGGAAGTTTGTTGGAACAATTAGATGACATTGTAACAAATGTGACATTTAATGTTGTTTGATTGTGGGTCTGATATTGTTTCTACCGATATTTTTTCTACGGCCATTAAAAGGTCAAATTTATTGTGGTATTCCAAACATCTACATTGATTATCACGTCATTCCAAATTTTATGATTTTACCCTTCCATTTAAGATATAAACGAATGTTTGTTCAATGGACTTTTTAAAGCATAAGTGAATGGTCAAGAGCAATATTGAAACTTTTAAAATGTAAATGATACTTTTCTAAAACAATTGGCAAATTTCATGGTAATTCAGTCAAAATTTTACTTATTATTATTTAGTTTTAACTTGGTTTAAAATTTAGTTTTAATTCAGTTTGAGATTATAATTTCATAAATTTGAGGTAGGGATTTCCCACCCAAAAATTCCCCAGTTACCTTTTCCTTTTTAATTTAGTGTTTTTTAGGTAAATATAAAATAACATAATTTATAGAAATTTAATTTACTAGATTGTTTACTATTTCTAAACATTTATATTATACAAATATTTAATAAATATAATACAAATGATTTAGAAATTTTGGAACGTGGACGAGGCAATGATATCGGGGACTTGGGGTAAGGACAAAGTCGAGGTAAGGCAAGGAATACATTTTTCATCTCGTCCCCAAGATTAAATCAAGAAAAAAATTCTTCATCTCTGTACTCGTCCCAAATTGTACATGCTAAGTTTGTTGGCGGAAAATTAACATTTCTATTTATGATTTCAAAAGTTCCAATTTAATCAACCATTTGATCAAATCTCACCAATATTCATGTTGTTACCCGCTCATGCCACATTGAATATTAGTAGGTAATCGAAACAAATTTTAAAATTCTACCAAATCATGTGAATCAAATTGAAACTTTTCAAACTATAGCAACTAGATTGTTCCAAACTATAACGACCAAATTGATAATTTACTTATATTTTGATCTCAAATGTTTGGGTTTTAATTAAAAATCATAATTCTGAATATTTAAAAATTTTAATTTTATCCTTCATGTATTATTATTTTATCTTTCCAATAAGCCTTTATTGTCACATCGTCCACCACTCACTATGTTGAACAAATCATATGGAGAAAGTCTAAAAGCAAATTTACCCACACTGCCTAACATCAAGCGATAAAGATACTTCTGACCCACAACCCTGTAAAGAACAATTTATCCTTTAAAAAGACCATTAAATATCTGTTACGTAATTTAGCTCAACTTGTTAAAGTATCTATTTCTGACAAAAAAAAATCGTGAGTTTGAATCTTTACCTTTACATGTTGTACTGTAGGGAAAAAAAAAAGTTAACATAAGCAATCAATCTGACCGTCGTCCTTAAGGTTAATAGTTCGATCTCACCTCGTAATTACAAAATTATTTAAAAGGAACGTTGAAATACTATTTTGATCTTTATACTTTCAGTTGTTGATTCAAGTCCGTAATCAAAAAACCTGAAGAACTGAAGGCTTCCCACTCATTTGCAATTACTGCCAAGGAGAACACAATGAGATAACAAGAATGCGGCATTTTATCTATATATGGACTTTTTTCATATTGATCTTGCCTAACTAGAACTCATTTCTTCAAGAATTCTCACATGGAAAAATGCTTCCAGAAAAAAATAAAAAGAAAATAAAGAAAAGTATCACAGATAGACCATAGTTTGCTGTGCAAACTGCAAAAAGGGATCTCTTGATTTATCTGTAATTCATTGATTCTGGCAGTGAGCTGCAGAATACAATGAATGGCCTTTGGCAGCAAAACAAACAACCAACAACAACAAAAACACCACCAATTTCATTGTTTCTGCACCAACACCCTTCAGCCCAGCCAGAAACTTGCAATAAACACAAAATTGCCAAAACCTTAGCTTCCCATTCAGCGTACTTTGAATGTTTCTGTTCTTTTTCTTCACGCTTTCTTGCAGCAAGGATGATGGTTCTACATGGTTGAGAGGAGAGGATAGAATTTATGATTCTTCTCATCAGTTCGCTCATGTTGCTAACTGCGGTCCTGAAATGATTGACCACTGAAATGTCATTGATGTTATAATGAAAAATTACGGAGTAGAAGCAATGAGATAGCCCACGAAATCCAACATGGGAACTGGAAAAGCTGTGTGATGTTTTAAGATGCAGTTCACAACAAGCTGAGCCACGCAAGCATAAATTTATCCTCAAAATCAAGTATAATTGGATCATGATATGGTGTACTTGGATGATAGAGCTTCACGAACTATATTACCCACGAAAGAACAAAACAAAATCAAATCAAAACAAAACAAAACAGAAGTATAAATCAATTTTAAATGGGTATAAGACTCATGACAAAAGTAAAACAATGAGAAATCAAAATGATGGTGAGACCCACAAATGTGGAAAATTGGAATAGGACCAACGAAGTTAAGAATTATTTCCACATTTTTTTTCCAACAAGAAACAACATTTTATTGATAAATGAAAAGGACGGATCCAAAGTTAACAATGAGCAAGGAATAAACTTTCCACTGATATAAACATTGAGTGCAAATGAGAGAAACTGAGTCTCATTCTCCAGTTCACATTTCCAATATGCAATAATGGCCTTATTCATTGGCATCTTTGACATTATAATAGGATCTTGTGTTGTTTTTCTTTTTCTGGTATAGGGAGAAATGCACTTGCTGTGTTAAATGGTATTCGATCATTTAATTGATTAAATCAATTTCTTACCATATGTATGAATCAAAAGCAATTATGGTATAATAGATATACTAACCCTTACCAAATATGTGATGAATAATAAGGGACAACAATCAGCTCCCTGTAGGAGGCCTTCGTTTAACCACCAAATCATCAGCTGAATAGTAATCAGCAATAAGCCGATACATGTATGATGAGTTATGGCCACCTCTGTCAAAGTGACAAGAGTAACTAATGAGAAATAAACAGATGAAATCAAGATCAATATAACAGCATTCCTCTTTTTCACTAAGAAAAAGAAAATCAATTGAAACCCAGAAATTTAAAAATCCAAAAACAAATATTCAACAGAACAGGCAAACCAAAGCACCTTGCTTTAAAAATGGGGATCATTGAATTGAAACGAAATAAAATAATTTAAAGATATAATTGATGACAAAGGCCAATTATCTTCTCCATCCTTAAAGCTCCAAAGACTGTGACAGATGCAATGGAAAAGCTTACGAGGGATTTTATATGGAACGGAGGGAAATTTAGGCCGATTGGGAATCTAGTTAATTGGTCTTGGACTGCGCTGCCTTCTCAACAGGGAGGAATGGGAGTTGGGTCGCTAGCACACAAAAACACTGCCCTCTTGATGAAATGGGTGTGGCGCTTTGCGAATGAAAAAAACAATCTTTGAAGGAAGGTCATTGCTGCCATTTATGATGGAGAGCCTTTTGGATGGTGGTCCAAGCCCTCAAAAAATTCTTCAATAGGCAGACCTTGGATCGATGTTCAAAGAATAACTCCAATTTTCAGCAGATTCATTGTGTACAAAGTTTCTTCGGGGATTTCTGTCAGATTTTGGGAAGATAATTGGACAGACTCTCTCCCTCTTTCGGTTACTTTCCCAGATTTCTATGCTATCTCAACTGAGAGGAATTTTTCTATAGCAAATTGTTGGAACACAGAGGCCTTGACATGGGACCTTGGCTTAAGGAGGAACCTATTTGACAGAGAACTTGATAGATGGGCAATGTTCATCGGGAAAATTGAAGGGCTGGTCTTAGGACTTGAGAATGATTCCTTGTGTTGGACTGCTGATAACAAAGGAGTTTTTACAGTGAAATCGGCCTTTATGACTCTCACCTCCCCCTCTCCTAAGCTAAATGCATCCACTGCATCTTTAATCTGGAATTTCAGGGTACCAAAGAAAGTTAAAGTTTTCCTCTGGACTCTCTTCTACAGGGGCACAAACACTGCTGAAAAAGTTCAAAGGAAACTACCTCAGTGGACCCTCTCTCCCTCAGTGTGCGGAATGTGTCTCAAGAACACAGAAATGGTGGATCATCTCTTTTTACATTGTCCCTTTGCAGCTAAAGCATGGAACTACCTGGCATCTTATCTAGACTTGGCTCTCAGCTTACCAAGGAAAATAGATGATTTTATAGAAGAAGGCTTTGGTGGATCCTTGTTAAAAGGAAAATCTTTCATCCAGTGGAATTGTGGCGCGAGAGCTCTTCTTTGGCTGCTTTGGAAGGAACGGAACAACAGAATTTTTGCAGAGAAACAGAACTCTATTGAAGACTTTTGTGTGAATATTAGGCATACGGCTTCTTGGTGGGCTTCAATCCACAAGAAGGCTTTTTGTAACTATGGTTTTCTTTTGACTCTTCAGAGTTGGAATTCCTTTATTGTATAGTTTCTTAGTTTCTTGGGGGAGGGTCTTCTCGACCCTCTGCCCCTAAGTTGTACGCCTCTTTTTTGGACTCCTTTTCTTTTGGAATGAATCTTTGTTTATTATCAAAAAAAAAAATGACAAAGATGATATTAAAAGAAAAATCCATCAATCAATATTCCCATGCCACTCGTTTTGATTTAGGAGTCGGGAAGTAGAGGAATGAAATACAAGAAAAAAGAACTGGACTTACGTGTCAGTAATAAATAAACTAACAAGCGATGGTGGCACATAGTCAAATGTTGGGTTGACTACATGGAGAAGAGGAGAACCAGTGTTAGTTCCAAAGTCCATGCAATCTGAAAATTCACCAAAGTCAAGTAGCTCTGATGGGGATCTCAGTTCATTGAGTAGAACTTCAGGATTGTGTGGATACAAAGGGCATAACTGTCAAATAAGTAACAAACATTCAGAAAAGAAATTTAAGGCAGCATGCCAACTTTGTACAATATCCAGAAGCCACAATTATAACTTTTCTCCATCCAACAGTGGGAGCTATCTATCATGTCAAGACTACATTGAAATATGTTCTGAGTATGATCTAGAATCTGCGAGTTTGTGGGTTAGGGTTGGAGGAAGAAGAAAATAGAAGGTGTTTGCTTATGCCCTCCCCCTTGAAATCGCAAAAACAGTCGAAGGGGAGAAGACAAAATGTGTTTAAAAAAAATATTAAGAAACATGACACGTCATAAATCTGTTATCTATTTAACAGTGGATAGCAGCAAGGACCAAAATAAATATTCTTTAAAAGTATAGAGACCAAATGACCATTTTCAAAGTACAGGGAGTAAACTAAACCAAGTTAAAAGTACAAGGAATGAAAGCGTATTTTAACCATTTTTATAATAGGAAGCAGAGTTTCATTAACATAATGAAATATGCAAGAAGAAACCAAAGGAATTAAAAATGATCACCAATTTGTCCGTGTATCAAATAGAATTGAGACACCAAGAACAAGCATTAAAGATAATAACATCCCAAATCTAGTCAAGTCTTCTATATTTATTATTGAAGATTCTTCTAATGCATTTTTATTTTTTTATTTTTTGATGAAAAACCAAACTTTAATTAAGAAACATAAAAGAAATACAAGGGCATTAAAAAAAATACCAACATGAAAGAACTACAAGGGCATAAAAAACCAGCCCCACAAAAGGAGTCCAAAACAAAGCTGCTATAGATCGAACTGCCAAATCGGAAAAATGCCATAGCACAATTTTCTGATCTTTGAACCAGTGACCAATGAGAACATGGAACCAAAGATTTTTGGTATACTTAGGAGGATGCATCATGAACGGGAAAATATCCAAAAGCCTGTTCCATAGCTTATCCACCACCAGGCTGAATAATAAGAGATTAGCATCTTCCAAATTATTTTTGCGTAGAAGAACCAGTTGGGTTTAAGATACCAACTAGGATTCCTTCTCTATAGTACTACGATACCATTCGTGTTAAAACCATCCAAGGTGAGGGTCCAGAAAACTTTATATTCTTTTTGGGGTTTTTTGATCTCTAAAGTTCCTTGCAGAATACTGGAAGTTAGATATGATCACTTCAAGTTGAATGTTGGAATTGAGACTGAGAAGATCTCATTCTTATCATGCATTATCGCCTTGAATCCTGCCTTACAGTAAGTCTTTGGCATTCTATACATTGAAGAAGACAAACCCAATCAACAAACTCCCAGTTTTAAAGATGTCCCCCGAGCTTAAAGCTCTCACTCTATATCATCAGCATTTCTAGCTTTTTTAACCCAAATTAATTTATTGGGGGAAGCCATAAAGAGTCTACGACTGTGCCATGAGAGGTCCCTCTTCTCCATTCATCTAACCAGAGAAGTGTATTAACACCATTCCTAACTTTCATTCAAGTTAACTGATCGTAAGACCCCTACATCTTAATGATGCTTGACACGACTTCTGCAACTACTCTATTTACATTAATAAGGCAGCAACCAGCGACCAATCTTCCTATATTTGCTCAAAATTATTCTTCTAAAGTGAATGGGGATCATCTGAAAAACACCAAAGCCATTTGGTAAGAAGAGCCTGACTCCTTTCTGTAGTCTTCCCGATATAGAGACCACCAAGCAAAAATGGAAGAGACACAAGCTTCAAGTTATCAAGTTACAATTGCATTCATGTTAGCACCTTCCTAAAGAAAATTCTTGGTGCATTCGTCCATTTTATACAGAATAACCTTATGGAAGACCAAGAGATAATAAGAAGATTGCTTGGACCAAAGCAAGGTGGTCCCCTTTTGATACGGGATCCATTCTCCATTTAGCCAGCATGAGACCAACCTTCTCCACTAAACGGGTTCCGAAAAGCCAGACTTTGGCTTACCACTTAAAGGTGTACCCAAATAAACCATAGGAAAGAAGCATTTAGAGCAGCTTAAATTTTAGCAGCTCTCTAAAGGAAAAATTCCTCCTCACCAATGTTGATGCTAACCACATTAGGCCAGATTTAATTTTACGACATACTGTTGTAGAAACAGTCTGAAATTCTAGCTTACATTTCTTCAGAATAAATGTATGTTACAGCAACTTGCAGATTCAACCAACTAGCATTGTTTCTAAGTTTTTCTCTCGATCTATAGAATATGAAACTGTTCGTATTTATTGATACCAAACATGGCAACTGACAAAACATTAATCATGAAAAGTTATACTTCTAAGATACATAATATGATCAACAGTTGGCCTAGCCTTTTCTCTTTCAGTTTGATTAGTACAAAAGCAATCAAGAGAGGGGGAATTTTGTGTCACCACAATTTCTTTCTTGAGATGACTAAGCCAATTTGGGGGTAGAGTTCAAAATAAAAGTAGATGAAATTTTTTTCATTTCAAAGATTTTAATTGTTGCTTTCTAGTCTATATCAGAACCCCACATGAATTTTTATTTTTGATATCCGTGTGTCCGGACCAGCTTACGCGCACCTCGACTAATCACGGGCCAACCGCCCGACCATACTACATTTGGTTGACAAGATAACTCGTAGGATATTAAATACTAGGTGGTGGCCACCATGGTTTGCAGCACCCCACATGATTATAGGGCAATAAATCCTTTGTTCCTTTATTGTGTCATCGAATCATAAGGTCCTTTCACAAATTATTATTACACGGCCATAGATAATTTCATTTATAGAAAAAGAAATTTCTAATATTATCGTGCTTTCCCCTACACATGTATAAAGTGAACACTTTTACATATTCTTTGATTATCACCTCATCCTTTCTACTGAAGTTTGTATTCTATGAGAGTCTCATAGAAGTTTGTGTTCATAATGAGACATGGTATACACCTGTATTTTCCCATCACAATTTCTTCAGACAAACGAGGCAGTTATGCTGTGCAATTATCCCCCTAACAAAGATACAAGCCAAGTTACTGCCCAAAGCTCTAGCTCACCTTCATCATAGCAGTCGGTAGTCATAACCACAACCTCTAGTTCAGTCACTAAGCTGTATGCAGTTTAGATGCATGGATGTTAAAGTTAATTGATTAAGGTAATCTCTCCCCATCACCCTTCACCTGTCTCCAAGTAGTTAAAAATGTTGCCAAATAAGAAATCAAACTATTTTTTGGGAAAATATTAAGAGGGATCTAAAAGGTATTCAGGCCTTAACATAGCAGAAATTTTTCAAAGGAAACTACATTCTTCGTCTTTATCGCCTTCAGTTTGTGTATTATGTGTTGGGGTATAGTGAATGTCAAAATCACCTCTTTTTCTCCTGTCCTTACACACTTAATGGTTGGTCCTCCTTATTCAAGATCTTCAACATGCAGTGGGTTTTTGACAAAGAAGCAAGTAAGAATGTTACTCAGTTACTAATTGGCCCATTCTTACTGGCCAATGCCAATTTTTTATGGATTAATACAGTTAAATCCGTAATCTCATAAGTTTTGAAGACAATAAAAAATCTTGGGTGGAATGTTTTGACTTAGCCATTTACAAAACTTCACAATGGTGCTCTTTTTCCAATTTATTTTTTCATCGTTATATTTGTTTAAATTGGGAGGCTTTCAATTTCTATCATTTTTTTTAGTGAAAGAAACAATTTCATTGATGATATGAAATTACAAAAGACCCCATGGGGTTACATGAAGCACTTCCAACTATAGATTAAGGAAGTGTGACTATAGTAAAGAAATAAGGGAAAACATTTGCACCAAGAAATGACTACAAAGACAATTGAGTCAAAAAGCCGATCTAAAGGGAGGTCTTTGTCGTTTAAAGTACGGTAGTTTCAATTTCTCTCATTATATTGCTGTTTTTTATGGATTTCCCGTTATTTTTCAATCTTAAAGTGAGTTTATATCTACTGAACATTTTTGTATATTTTCATTATATCAACGTTTCTTGTTCAATAAAAACAGGGTTGTCTATCACAATTAGCAAACCAGACAATTTGACATGATCAATACAATCCTGATGAAGAAACAATATGAGGGTGAAAATGCTCCAATGCTAAATATTCTATCGAAATTCAAACTCAGCCTAATTCATAACATTACCTTATGACTACCGGCTAGTACAACAAAAGGAACAGCATGCCTTTTAGCTGCAAGGGCAACCATATTCAACCCAACAGGTGCCATGACACCACCATTTGCCATGACAGCATGAGCTCCAACTATAACCTTGCAGAACAGATTTGAAAATAAAGCTATCAGTTCTCATGTGCGTCCCATTTCATGCAAAGATTGAAAGAATGCGTATTTATACATGTATACACACTACAGCTACCACCTACGACCTACCATATTCACCCGGGAGATCATGGCAAAAACTGCAGAATCAGTAATAAGTGTGGTTTGTAAACCTCTTGTAACCAACTCCTTAGCAAGAAGATGACCCTGATATCTGTGGTAACATTCAAAATAAACAAGCCATAGAGTAACAAAAAATATCTAAGTGTAATATAAATCTGCATTCTACCATACAGCTAGCTATTAGCACATACCTCGGAGCACCCTCAGCAACAAACACCCGGAAGGACCTCTTCTTCTCCTTAGCAGCACAAAGAAATTCCAAAACTGTTCTGGAACTCCCGAGAGTTAATATTACCTCACTGAAAAGTGGTATTCAATATACGTGAGGATATTGTGGTAAATTCTAAATTATAATTTCATATATGAAAGTCCTCTAAGTTCCAACTGCATATTTCAGGTGAAGCCAGAAACACTGAACAATGCAAGTAAATCAAATACAAACTTATGCCTTTGAACAAAGATTGGAGCTAATTTAATAATAAAAAGAAGAGCCGAAGGGCATCTGAACAAGATCAACAAAAATGTAGAATGCCTTACACATAACTTTCCCTTCCTGTATATTCCCTCGGACCCACAACCTCTAACAGTTTTACATAAGACAATCCCGATTGTTATTCACATACCACGCATTACATCCCACTACTCGCTTACCCAACACCCCCTCCTGTTAGTATATGTTGAACTCACTGATGGTCAAAGGTTTCTATCAATCCCCACCACCCAAACTTTCACCTTGCCCTCCAGGTGGAAAGCAGGGACCTGATTATTGATGAGATAAAAGGCTTCCAATGTATTTTCCTCAAGTTGCTGTCCAACCCACAGAATCAACACGTCCAAGCCATGTGCTGGATCTGATTGTGATAGGCAAAACCCCCCAAAGCAGCAGTAGGCGTGGAGGAGAATTCAAGCTTAGGACTCATTTCAGCTGATAAGAGGTTGGGCAGCAAGTTTCCTAGCCTTGAGTTAGAAAGCATGGAATATTGGGTGAATTCCTGAAGTAGATAGTAGTTGCACCTTGTATGCCACCTTTCAAGCATTTTATTAGCCATTTAATTAGTCAGCCAATCTCCTTTGGAGACTCTACATTCAGCATCCATCACTTTCCTCCATATAGGGTCCTCTTCCCAAGTAAATCACCACAGTTGTTTAGTCCAAAGAAAGATTTCTCAAAGGTTTCCAAAATCAAGACCAAAGGAAATGGGTTAGTTGACCTTGTACCAGCTAACCAAGTTGAGAGCCTCCTTCCTTGTTGTGGCCTTCCCAGTAAAAATATATCATAGATTTTACAATAATGAAGACATCGTTTGGGGCACAAAAAAAGTGGTAATGGGTATGGGTTGGAAGGTTTGAGGGATAAGCTTGGATGAGGGTTAACTATGAACTTTTTAGGGACTAATATTTTCCAGATTAACAACTTGCTTTGAATCATTTCAGAGGTTGAAGTCCAAAAGTGGATGCTCTTTGGGTTACCATTTTCAGGGAGACCAAAGTTGGGCATTGACCAAGAGTCAATACTGCAACCCATAATAGAAGCCGGATCTTGAACTTCAATAGCTTCACAATTGATACTCAATACCTTTATTTGTACATATACTTTTTTTTAATTAAGAAACTGAGAAGGAGCGTATGAATGATAGCTACAAAATAAGACAACCTAAGGATCGGGGTGCAGAGTTTTTTTTTTTTTTTTAATAACTAAGTCGGAGCTTTTAATCAGGGGCATCTGTACCCACCCCAAGGCTCAGACCCAGGCTCTTGGTATTAAGCTCACCGGAAGGTTCGAACTTGAGACCTCTAAGCCAGTATGACCAAGAGACCCTAAACCCTTGCCAATTGGGCTGCCCTGAGGAATTTATACTCATTTAAAAATTAAACCAGTAATAATTTGAGATCAATAATCTTGAAAGATTGAGGAACTTATCCTTATAGGCGAAAGATAAATGAATCTTTCTGCTCGGTTGCTTTTCCAACTTGAAGCCATTAATAGTAGACCTTCATGAGAAGTCTCCTAAAACAATTTTTCACAAGGATAAAAAGAAAAGGGGAGAAGAGTCTCCTTGTCTAATCTATCTTGGAAGGTTGGATCTTACCATTTGGCTTCCCATTTCTAAAAGTATAAAATTTTGAGTTAGTGGGGCCAGCTACAATCCAAACCCTCTGGTGTGTGAAGCTTTCGATATAAGAAGCAATCAAAAGACCAACTTACTAGAATGGAAAATAAAACACTGTTAGGAACCCAAATATACTAAACGAACCAAGATAACTATATTGCAAATCCAAAGAGAAATTACAATATCGATAGTCTTTCGAGAGGGCTATCCTCTCCCAAGAACTCCCTCAAGTTCCTCACACAGTAATCATCCCTAACTAATTACCATAACGCTCATAACCCATATACTAATATCATTCCTTAACTATCCCTAACAGGACTCTCACAAACACATGAGAAAAACATATGACAATTTTTGCATAAGGACCCCTTGAGTACGATAAAATAATTAAGATACATTAAGTATACTTCCCAAAGTTAATAACCCTATACTGATTCAGTAAGTCATAAACCAGATGGTCCAAATCAATACGATATCGAGGATACAAAAAAACAGGTTAGCTTACTAAGATTAGTTCAACATGAGATATACTTTTGATGGATGTGTTCCACTGCTTGCTCAGCAATCTGTTCGTGACATGTTGCAATATCTTGAATGAGTTCATTAACAGCTTCAATTACATCGTGCTTGAGTTTCCGACTCCTCGAACTCTTATCAGCAGCTGTTGATGAGAACAACTTGTTAGAAAGAAAACCTTGCATTCCAAATGAAAAAAATAATAAATAATAAAATGAAAATAACCACTCCACATTTAACTAACGAACAGAAATAAATGGACAGATAAGATAACGTTGAAACACACACATGCACAGAGTGCATATTTTCTAAATAGACTTTTGTTCAAGAGAATTAGAAAGAATATAACACTATCATTTATCAGGGACCCTACTTCCTACTAAAATCAAAAGAGAGAGCAATGAGCAATAACCAAAGAAGGAGGTGAATAGTTTCCAGTAGAAAAGATTGATGGATGCTACAGGTTCCCGTATTATGCCTTATCGCTAATTCCCTGAAGAGACTAAAAATGGATCCTGCTCCATATAATCTCACTTATTCAAGTACTTTTTTTTAATAGAATCAAAGAACATTATGATGTTCTTTATCGTTACAGGTTCCCTTATTATGCCTTGTCGATAATTCCCTGAAGAGGCAAAATTGGATCCTGCTCCATATAATCTCACTTCAACTACTTTGTTTTTTCTTTTGATCAGAAACAAATAACATTATGATGGAATTACCAAAAAAAACAACCTAGGGGTGGGTGTAGAGAGAACCCCTCCCAAGAGACCACTAGTTTATAAAAGCCTTCCAATTTCAAATGATTATAGATAACTATAATTACAAAAGAAATCCCAATTATACTCTTCCTTTGTTTTTAAAAATAAACTATTCCTCATCAATTATATTCTTCCTTTAAATCTAAACAGCTGGATCTCCAAATATTCATATAAAGGCATTGCAACCAAAAGGGGTCTTAAATCCCAGTTTACTCAAAAAGGAAAGAAGCAGAACTTTCCAAGGGCATAATTATGAAACTAGTCAAACTATATATATATATAAATTTCAACACCCTACAAATGATTTTTCATGCCTAAAAGTTAATATATATAACATCCATTAGAAGTTGAAGAAGCCAATTAATTTTCTAAATAAATGTTTGACAATAATATTTTCCTTTTACATACTTGCTAGCGTGCACATCAACTAATCTCGCCGGAGAACCAATTGACCCTATTACATTTGATTTCGAAGATAGGTAGCCACCATGATTTCAACTCATTCTCATAGTATTTGAATGTATAACAATAAGATTTGACAAAGAAATCCAAAGTCAAACAAACTTTTCCAAACGATTTCAAAATTCTATTAGAAAAGAAAATACAAAACCAGATATGTCAATATACTTATTTGTTCAAAACCAAACAACAAAGAAACTTTTATCTCATTCCCCATGACACATTCTTGCATAAGCTTGCTGTGCTTCCTTAAAAGCAAAGCTTTTATTTTGGATAATCACACAACAACTTTAGCCAGAAAAATCATTAAAATTTTGGGATGTCACAATCAAATACCTTCGAGGACATCATAGACCTTACCAAGTAAGAAGCATGCAAAATACTCATCAGCATAAAACAAGGAAGCTCACATTTGCTTTTTCCTTCTGAATCACCTCCAGATGATGAAGTTTGATGGATAGATGTTTGGTTAGGAACGTCCTCAAGAAGAGTTTGCAAGGAAGGTGGCCGCAGAGTGCTTCTTGCAGCAGCTGCAACAGCAGCGGCTGACAGGGCCGGGCGATCATCTTTTTCAATGTCATCCTCATCATCACTAACTGCTGATAAGCTCAACCCGGCAATAGCAGCTGTGGTGAGAGAGAGATCCTCCTCTCTAATAATGTGCAAAACACGCCTCACAATATTACCCACAGCAAGCTCTGCAGTTGTACATTATCATATTAATGCAAATGAAAAAGCTAAAAAATTAGTAGATTAAAACCTAATAAACATGGCCAGAACCAAATGATGATAATTGAGACGTGATTAACAATTCGTTTTCAGCCTGAACAAAGAACCAGTCACAAAAATATATTAAATTTTTGTAAATGGGTAAAAAACCAAAAACGAACATCCACTATATTTCACGAATTTTAGCCCTGAGATAAAATTAAGAAATTAAATTCTCGTCAAAGACCAACCCAAGGTTAAATATTAAGTCATAATTAACAAAAACCAATGAATCAATATATGTACCAACAGGATTCGCAGCAATCAGCTGCTCGCCAACAGCTTTCACAGCATCAATCAAAGCGGCAGCCTGATTCGTGTAGGGTATTCGCTGCTGCGAAATGACTGAACGAAGCAATTCAGCTGTAAGCTTCGCAGTGGCCAGGGAGCCCTCGATTTTACTGCCACAATATCATCCCAAAAATGAAACATGGAAACGGACTCCAATCCAATAAACGCAACCAACAATTCAATTTCCAGAAATACCAACAATCCCAGATAAACTAACCGCTTCTTAAGCTTGATAACRAAATCATTCACAACGGCTTGCACGTCTGGCATAATCCTGAACAGATGAAGCGAAAAAGGGGCAAAATTGGTTGCGCGTCTGCTTACAGAGAAAATCGAAGAAAGAAGTGGGAGTTGCAGCAGTGGAATCTGGGTGGGTCTTGTTCTTGAACTCGTGAGAAGTTCTCAGTTTTCGCTGCCCCTTTTTGTTCTTTGCCTCTTTTGGGTTGAAATTGGACTTTTCTGTGGATTTTTTACTCGAACCTAATTTTATCATATTTGTAATTTATTTTCTAGTTTTCATTTTAATATAACGTTTTTTCTTTTAGCTATTTTTATTATAATGTAATAAATACGAAAACCTATAGCTTTCTTTTTTAACAAAAAAAAAAAACGTATAGCTTTCTTTTATGTTAATGTGGCTTCAACCAATAGTTGAGATCCGAATAGATAGGTCGAGTTGATTTTTGGCCAAAATCTACATTTAAAGATAAATTGACGTTGAAATTGGTTTTTGACAACATAAATGACCAATGAATCGAGTCTATTTAAATATAAGAAATTGATAAGATTTATCTACATTGTATTGAAGGACTCAAAATTTCTCATGCTCAAATTATAAATAAATAGATATCGTCACAGGTAATTAATTATAATCAAATTGAAATGCATCTAGCCCCAATTTCAATGGATTTTTCTTTTTGCTCGTTAAGCTGGTCATTATTATCATTACAAGCAAATACTATTTTCTTATAAATAACGTATCACTTGCAATTAAAGTCCCACGGTAATTTAAGCGATAATATTTGCCACCTCATTTGACTATAATAAAAAACAAATAATATTCTTACCTTTTTCATCGAGGACTCCTATTGTTAATTCTACCAGCAAACTTTAAATGCTTGATTTAGTATGTGAAATAGTGAGTTTGATATATTTTTAAAAATTCAAGTTTTCTGTCTCTTTTTTTTTCCCTCGTGTCACGGTTTTTATAATTTCAATTCACTTTAAAATAAATTATTCGGATGATCATCCCGCAATGTTTTTTCAAAATAGATTTTAAAGTAATTTGACTTTTTAAACATGTCATTTTATTCGTTACCAAACACGTGGATGATTTAAAAACTATTGTAGCTATCTAAAACAATTTAGGAAACTATACTATAATAAATAATTATTCCAAAGACAATTTTAGAGAAAATAATTTTTATTTATAAAGCATTTCGCTCAAAAGTTATTGAAAACATGCTAAGTTTGGTAGCATGAATCATACTTATAATTGGAACTCGAATCAGCGAGAGTGCTTGCTCTTTTATGTTGAATAGGTGATAACAACCTGAACCTTCACAGACTTGAAGGTAGTTTAATTGGTCAAAATACATCTCTCTAATCAAAAGGTCATGAGTTCGAATCTCCATCACGACAAGTTGAACTAAAAAAAAAACTATGAATATTCAGTTACCTGCTCCACCAAGTCTCAACTCTAGGAAAATTTCAATTCCATGTGCATAAAATGTGGCCAAGGCAAGACAACAGGGTTTTCATTGCATTCAACCCCCTAGGGCTAAAGAGGAGATGACTTGGAAAACCACACAAAAAAGAATCCAAATCTCCAACACTATTTATGCATAAAATAGTGTGCCTTCTAAAATAATAAACAAAGGAACAAGACAATTTGAACGAATGCATAGACTTTGCTTTGCTTTCATTTGATTAACCAAATATGAGGAGCTCAGTCTAATATGTGAGAAGGTGAATTCAATTCTAAAATGAAGAGAACAAAATTAAATTAAATAATAATTCCCAGAGAATAATGTAGAACCAAAATTTATTCTTTTGATCAATAGTGAAACAGTTGTCCATTACATAAAGAGAGCACTGCCACGGAGGAGGTATTTCTGGACTAGAACCTCCCCTGAGTTTCAGTGAGGTAATTTAATTTAAGCTCACAGAGTTCACTGGACACCACAAGCCAATTTAAGGATCAAAGATTTAAAATTCATACTGTTACATGGATCAGCGTCCCGAGACTTTGGCAGTAACGTCCTTTTCCTTCTCTCTTCTTGAGGCAAATGTTTCTGCAACGAGCAACGGGAAAGCGATCGTGGCGTCACAATGTACCTGGTTTGCCCATAAAGGGAATTGATTAGAATCACAACTTTATGACATTTAACACGAAGAACAATGAAGAGTGAAACCAGGAAACTGTTCAAATGCAAGAACTGGAAACAGAAGAGGTTTGTTGTTGAAAGAAATTTATGTTAAGACCCAAAAGAATTAGGCAACTTGGTAATGAAAAATGGATGAATGAGGCAAACCTTAACAGTCTTGGCCGAACCTTGTATTTTGCCCCAAGAGACAGCCTCATCGGGATGGGCTCCAGAGTCACTTCCATCAAACTCTTGAGCAGTATTGATGAAGACAGCATAATCTGCACCGTTGCGCATCATATTGGCATTGCAAATATGATGCTTTGGGAGACCCCCACCAAGAATTATCATTCCAGTCTTCCTTGGACTTGCATGGACAGCTTNTGCTTTGCTTTCATTTGATTAACCAAATATGAGGAGCTCAGTCTAATATGTGAGAAGGTGAATTCAATTCTAAAATGAAGAGAACAAAATTAAATTAAATAACAATTCGAGAATAATGTAGAACCCAAATTTATTCTTTTGATCAATAATGAAACAGTTCTCCATTACATAAAGAGAGCAATACCACAGAGGAGGTATTTCTGGACTAAAACCTCCCCTGAGTTTCAATGAGGTAATTTTATTGTAATTTAATTTAAGCTCACAGAGTTCACTGGACAGCACAAGCCAATTTAAGGATCAAAGATTTAAAATTCATACCGTTACATGGATCAGCGTCCCGAGACTTTGGCAGTAACGTCCTTTTCCTTCACTCTCCTTGAGGCAAATGATTCTGCAACGAGCAACGGGAAAGCGATCGTGGCATCACAATGTACCTGGTTTGCCCATAAAGAGAATTGATTAGAATCACAACTTTATGACATTTAACACGAAGAACAATGAAGAGTGAAACCAGGAAACTGCTCAAATGCAAGAACTGGAAACAGAAGAGATTTGTTGTTGAAAGCAATTTATGTTAAGACCCAAAAGAATTAGGAAACTTGGTAATGAAAAATGGATGAATGAGGCAAACCTTAACAGTCTTGGCCGAACCTCGTATTTTGCCCCAAGAGACAGCCTCATCGGGACGGGCTCCAGAGTCACTTCCATCAAACTCTTGAGCAGTATTGATGAAGACAGCATAATCTGCACCGTTGCGCATCATATTGGCATTGCAAATATGATGCTTTGGGAGACCCCCACCAAGAATTATCATTCCAGTCTTCCTTGGACTTGCATGGACAGCTTCACCATTTATGGCCCTAATATCTGTCCAAATAACCAAATTCACCTTCATTTCCATTATTTAACCCCACCCTCAAACAAAGGGAAAGAAAAGACTGACCTTGAACTACATCAATAATCAACCCGGGATTACGATAAGAGTGGAAGTACAGCATATCCCCCAATGAGCCATCTGTTAATCCAGGACAGAAGACCGGAATATTGTTCTGCAGAATAATATCAAATTCACTGTTTAAACTGAAAATGTAATTCAACTGCACTTGGATGMTTCATGCTTGTTTCTAGATAGTTACCAAATTCCTAATACACTTGCTAAATTCAAAAATAAAACATCAGGAGGAAAAACCGAAGTTCCAGATTATGTAAAACTTTGTAAATGAAACTATTTGATTCTAATAAAGATCTTGACGTCATAAGTAATTGACATTAAATTTGAGACGACAAAAACTTCTAATTTGATCTCCAAATCTTCATGCTCTACCTAAACAAGATCTAGTTCCTACAATTGTAAGGTTATTGATAATTTTAAAATATAACWAGGAGGCTATAATGAACTATAATTATGACAGCGACTTGATAAACATTAGAACAGGTACAAAGGATTCTATTTAATTTTACCTTATAGGCCCAATAAAGATACGAACTCTTGTCATTTATTTCTCTTCCCAAGCGTTGGATTAACTTGGATGGTGTCCAAATTACATTCTATGAAGACCAYACAAAATGAATGAGAAAATTAGATACATATTGCAAGGAACAGTGTTCCAACACTCTTACATATCTTCTGTATATTTCAAAGAAGAGCCTCAAAGAAAATAAAATAAAAAAGGAAAACAGAAGTAACGAACTAACTTGCAGAGAGGAAAACAAATTATCATGAAAATGAAAAAAGAAAAATAAAAATGAAGACCTTAGTGTAGAGCATACTGATCTCAAATATGCACTGCAACTAAGACTAAATGCACTACAACCTACACTCTTAGACGTTCAAGGGATCATTTAACTCATGCCCCTGTTTCCAAATTTTTGTGTATGTGTGTCTGTTTCTTTTTTCAATAAAAAAGAGATGAATAAACAAATATACATCTCTGTGTGTGTATCAATCTTGTTTCTATCATTCCATTTTTTTAAAAAAAAAAGAGGAAATTACGAAATAGAAAATGGAAAATGAGAATGTTATCGGACAAAATCTCATTGTAAATGCTTGCAATTTAAAAACAAAAATCCAAGAGTTGGATGATGAAAGTGATAGAAATAAGAAACAAGAATTGTTGTCCAACTAAAAGATTATATTCACGTTTAAGAAAATGCAAACAGCAAACCAACAACTTCAACTGTAAACAAAATAAAAGTATAATAGAAAGTAAGTACTCTTCAAGTTGTAAAACATCAATATAATCTTTTAGTATGTACCTCTTCAAGGATTGAAAGTAAGTACCTCTTCAAGTTGTTCCTTCAACATYTGATCCAAAATTGGAATAATCCAATCCTCGAATTTGCAATAATTATCATTAGGGACCAATAAATTACCAATGCGATTCAACCCTTTTGACCGAAGAAGGGCTCCAGGTAGAGAAAAATCACCTTTATAAGTGGGAGCAAGGCATTTTATCAGATCTTCTTCAATACCACCAGTAGTAGYGACAATCACATCTACCTGACAACATGAGTTGAGAAAAGCAAGAGTGAGATATAAAGGTATCATAAAACAAAACCTTAGGAAATTATTCACATATTTTGGAAGTTTTTGTTGCCCCACATTTTCCTATAACCATAATCCATCATGAGTCTTGGCATTAGATGAACCTCTGGTCATTATAKGATATTACAAAAAATGGAGCATTCATTTCTAACACGATTAGATGACTCTTGATTCAAGTCTCACGCAACAGAAAGAATAATATACTTATGGCTTGTTAAGTACAATTTTTTCAAAACAATTTTGTGTTTAATATTTATGATTAGTGACTTGTAAAGATTAATGTTATTGGGCATATTGATGTTATTATACACAAACTTGTGGTTTTCAAAATCCATAAAAGTACACTAAAGGAATTAAAAAAAATACAGACTTTTTTTAAAAATATTTATCCAAGTATGTTTCTCCTAAATCTGTCCTAAAGCCAAAAGACTATTTTGAAATCAATTCCTAACAAGCTGTAGATTAACTAATCAATTTCTACKAGATTGAAAGCATTTTTTAAAAAGCCAGATATTAAATACTAAATTGATCAATGCCAACTTGAACATAGCCCAATTGATTAAGGCATATACCCCGACTGAATCCCACTTCATGTTGTTATACTAAAAAAGAAAAAAAAAACTAAATTGATCAACATKATGTATCAGGTATAACTCACCATATGATGTTCAACAAGATAGCGAACTRTGTCTCTAACACCAGAAGAAATAAGATTAGATGTAAAACCAAGAAACACTTTGCACCTCGTAGACTCCCTATAGATTGGATCCCTCTCCTCCTCAGAGCAATCTTCTGTTATATCCTCATCGGCAAGCCTCCAATCTAACTTCAATGCAATTCAATGTCATTTATCAAAAGAAAACCATCAAAGATAACTAAAACATATATAWACCAAGATGAAGTATAYATGTTATAAGCATCCCTGAAACAAYGAAGGAACGTGTATTTTAGCTAGCTAACCATTTGATTGACAACTTCTATGGCATCTCCTAAATTGGAGGCTTGAAATCCAGAGGAGACCATGGACCTTAGAAGCTTGGAGTAATTGACTCCTTGATTGAAGTCGTATCCCTCAAYTTTGATGCTTCTCCCTTCAAGATTCTCTGATTCCTTAAAAACAGTAGCATGTACCGATGCCAGAACATTGTTTTCCATCTGACCCAATGCTTCACTGCCTGCACAAGGTATTCCCATGAATATGGAACTGAAATCTAAATAAAACTGGTGCTGTGGGAAAGCACATTGCCAACATTTTTTGAAAAACGTTGGCAAAACCATACTTTTGCCGACCTTCAAAAAATGTTGGTAGGGCTTACTTCAGCCAACTTTTTCTAAACGTTAGCAAAGTTGCCGAAGTTATGAAAACGATGGCAGAAGTTTCCATCTGCCAACGTTTTTCAAAATGTTGGCAAAAGTTTCCATCTGTCAACATTACACATCTACTATTCTGCCAACGTTTTGAAAAACATCGACAGATCTACTATTTTGCCAACGTTTTGCAAACGTCGGTATATTTATAGTTTTGACGACTTTTTTATCAAAAATGTTGGCAATATATATTTAATTTTTTTCCAAAATAAAATGCGCTAATTTCAATCCCAACATTCTTGGGATACCTGACTTGAAGGTCAAATACCAAAATATTAAATATCAAAATATTGAATACCAAAATATATCAAATACTACACGTTCAATACGTTTCAAAAGCTACATAAACCTAAGTAGAAGTTTCATGCATTTCAAAAGCTCTACATGACAAAACTTCATAGTAGCCAAATTCAAAGAACCTGAAAAATATAGTTTATGTAAGCACAAAGTACTTATAAGCCAAAATGATCACCACTTTATATATCTGTGAAAATAAAAGCTTGATGAAAACATAAAACATAGCTAAGAGAGACAAATTCCGCACCCACCAACATAAAACATAGCTAACAAAAACAAATTTTGCACCTGCAAACATATAACATAAAACATAGCTAACAAAAATCACATTTCTCACCACAACCACAAACAAAATTAAATTAAATTAAAAATAATTAACCCCATAAAGATCCTCCCCTTAAAGACACAATAATTACAATGCTTAATAGAAGCTACTTTAAGTACACAAACCCCCTCCCCTCAATGCTTGTAGCTTGCGGAGGCTACAATAGCTTTGTAGAGTGTTCACACCAAACAATCACAAGCTTTAGAAAAGATAAATAAGACCATATAAAAGAAACCAAAACATAATACAAAATCAAAAATAGAAATCATAAGTACACAAACTCATGTAAGATTCTATAATTGATGGTACTAAGAGAATAATAATCATTCATTTTCATTCTATTTTTCGATAATATCATGAATGCCACCTCTTTGTTGTTGCCTTCAATTTTTTCTACACACAATGATAGTGACAAATGAACTGACAGAGAACTTTCAAATAATTTTTTCTTCTAACACACCATTACTCAACAACCATCTCTCTCAAACTACAAGTCTTATAATTTTCCTAAAACATCCTTCAATCTATGTTATCTCTCTATTTCTCTCCATACTTCTGTCTCTATTTATCTCTTCTATCATATCGGTCTTCCCCAAAAGCTTTATCTGGTGGTAGTGTCTATGACCATAAGGGGGTTGGGGTTGTTGTTGATCGGAGAGGAACTGAAGCAATGGAATATAAGGGATATTTTATAACTTTATATACGAAGGATGAATTGGAGGACAGTAAATAATTGGCAGAATATTTGATGCTTGTTATAATTAATACTGTTAAACATTTCTATCCATAAGCTACGAGTGACATCAAGTGAATTTGTTCCTTTACCGAGATTTTCAATGATAGTAACTACCTTTAAAGTAAATTTTCTACTGCTTCCATTTTTGTTTCTGCTGTCTTTCCTCCCTTTCTTATTCTAGTGATGTGTAGAGAGGTTGAGCTACTCTGCTTTATGTTGAGTTCCATGTTAATAATCTTTTGATGAACATTTATTGTTGACTTGTAGAAANCCGACAATAGCACAGGTGGGGTTGAAAACACGTGCGTTTCGTCGCACCGCTGTAGAGAGGGACGGGTCTGCTGCTGCCGCCGTGCGCCGCTGCCAGTGGAGTCGTCCGGCGCCGCTGCCTTGCCGGGGAAGAAGAGTTGTGGGTGGCGGCTGGTGGGGAGGAAGAAGAAGGAGAAGAAGGATAAGTTAGAGTTTTGATCTCCTTTTTTCGTTTCTTTTCTTTTCTTTATTTACTAAACTTCTTTTAAAACCTAATTCCTCAAATTTTAAAGAATATCCAACTAAATAAAACTAACGAAACAAGAAGCACAAAATTACATTATAATAATTAAAATAAAACCGACACAACCCAAAATAAAATAATTTTGTTTTAACTCTAAAAACCAAGAATTGAATTTAAATTCCCTAAAACGTTGGATTTAGCATTTAATTAAAAATCTCCTACCAAACTCTCAAACTTAATTTATCTTAATCTAGCAAAATTAAACTTAAATTCTAATTTAAATTCTAACTTACCCAAATTAGAACTCTAAATTTACAAAAATCCAAGAACTTAAATTATTTGCTTCGGGAAAAAAAAATCCAAAAGCACAATTTAAATCTTAATATATACGAGCCAGAGAACGAGGGGCGTTACAAACTACCTACCTTAAAAAAAACTTTCGTCCTCGAAAGTTTATTTTATTGGTCACACAACTCTAAACGTCGGAGCGTTACAGATTCTCCTCCTTAAAAAAACTTTCATTGTCAAAAGATGACTAGTCAAGCGATTCTTTATGCTTCACCTTGATCTTCTTTTTCCTTTTTAGTTGCTTCCTTGCAACATCTTTACTAAGGAGAATTCTTGCTTTCTCAAGGTTTTGATTTCTCTAACGAAGATCTTAACATATCCTACTCTAGGTTTATGAGTCTTCACCTACCCAAGTTAACTCGTTCTCCTTGCTGCTCTTTTGCCTTTAGAGAGTTGCTTAACTCTTGATGGACTTCATCTAATGAGCTTTCCCTACTTTCACTATTTAACTTACAACTAACATCGAGCCTAACGGTGTGAGGACCTACAACAAATAACTTAATGCTTCCAACTTTAACTTGCTTACCAAACACAAGTCAGGCATGGGGAACAAGGAGGTTGATAACTAATTTAGAACATAATTAAATGAAAGTAAATGCACGAAAACATAAAGAAAGTATTTTTCATTGAATTTAAATGAATAAATAAGTCGTACGAAGAGTTCTAGCTTGATCCTTTTCTCTCTCGAGCGTGAGGGAGTTGAAACTCACTAAAGAACTTTAAAATAACAGAATGAACAAAGAACGGAAGTAAGAACTTGAATTAAAGGCAATACGAAAGGTAAAAGCATGAAGAACAAAGAAATGAACAACTAGAACATGAACATAAACCCTAAAAATGTGTTCTACAACTAGAGAGCATCTAAAAGAAGATGAAATGGAGCTTGGAATGGATGATTTGCTGAGGGATGGATGACTTCCTTTTATAGCACCTTAGGTTGGTTGAAACTCCCCTCCATTTTAGGTGGAAAAGGGTTGAGATTCACTTAACCACCTCACTTGGACTTGGACTCACGGTTTTGAACATGTGAGAAATATCCTTCTTGCACTTCATTAATCAAAACGTGTGTTTTGACAAATTGCCCTCCAAAAATGCGTCGGGCGCAATTCTGCAAAAAACAGAATTATGTTATTTTCTTCCAACTTTGACCGCATTTATCTCATATTTTTCCTAAAGTACCATAGTTTGACTTTTATGCAGAAATAATCTATGGATGTTCTACTTTAAGAATATATGGTTCTTTTTGGCAAATAATAATGGGAAATGGGTCAAAAACGTGGTCAAACAGGGCTACCGACACATGTTTCTGCAGTAAAAAGTCAACCCTCTCGCACCCCCAAACTTCGCCATTTGCTTGTCCTCAAGCAAAAACAACGACAACAAATCTAAAACAATCAACATGCTAGAAATATGAATAATCAACAATCCAAATGTTCTAAGTTAATGAACCATATAAGTCTCAAGAAAGACTCCACAAGCTAAACGTCCTAACTTTAATCTCAAGCCAACAAACCATAAATCATCCTTTGCTTTGAAAATAAAAACGATTCTAAATCTTCTTTTTTCTAAAACACAAAACTCTTTTACAAAATCATGGAATATGCACACTTCCATTTTGATTCAACAAATTTTAACATCAAGTGGACCGGCTACTAGCCCCTGAGGTTTTCAACACACTAACATCGGTTTCAAACCACAGCCACTCATAGAAACTTGTTATGTAGCAACCCGGCATAAAATGATGTCGACAATGGTTTTCACGAAGTCACCTTAATATGTAGGCTACCACCCTCCAAGATGCTAACGCCACCCATTTAAAGAAAATGAATGTCTATAGTGGGACTCGTAAAAAAGTAAGTGTGTTTTCTTTTCTCTCATGTTTCTTACCACTCTTTTCTTACTCTCACTTTTATTTTTCTTTCCTCCACTCTTATTTTCTCTCAAGAATCTTTTTTTGAACTTGCTTTTCTTCTTTTGGACTCTTTTTCATACTCTTTCTTCTGAAAAAAATTTCTTGCATATGACTCTTTTATTGCTTGCATTTTCCTTCTTGACTTTTTTCAAACCTTAACTTCTTAAGGGAAGCAGTGTCCTTACTGGGGAAAGAAATTTTGAGAGATGCAAAATTTTGGCACCAAAAGGACAAGGACTTCCAAAGCAATGAAAAAGTTAAGGTTTCAAAACAAAAAGAAGCAGAACACAATTTTATAACCAACACAAAAATAATGGAAAATGACTTATGGCTTGATCATAAAACTAGGAAATCTAACCTATTCATGCCCTTAAGAATCCTCATCGACAAGATACAAAAACAAAGAACAAAGGAAAGCATTTCATTAAAAAAAATGAACATGTTGAGAGTTTAGAAAAGATGCATTGAAGAAGCCAAGGACAAGCTAGTAGCTAGAACAAGGAAGCGTGCAAGCTTGAACTTTAAACATATGCAAAAATACAACTTATATGCAGTCCTAACAGCACAACATCCCAACACTAACCTAAAACTAAAACTAAGCTAAAAAAACTATCATGCAAACTAAAAGAACAAAACAATAACCTACACACCTTAATATGCAAACTAATCTAAACAACCTAAACTAAA